TCTCCTCTTTTTCTCTTTTTTTTTTTTTTTTTTTTTTTTTTTTTTTTTTTTTTTTTTTTTTTTTTTTTCTTTTTTTTTTTTTTTTTTTTTTTTTTTTTTTTTTTTTATGCAAGTACAGAAGCAGAGATTGCAGCAATGAGGGAGAAGAGACTCAAATAAAACAAGTGTGTAATTATGCGAACATATGTGTGTTCATGTTCTTGGATATAAAATACAACAAAATTGTAAAAACAATTTACAAAATGCATGCATTCATGCATGTGTATGTCGTCGTTAGGAAGATTCTCTTTCTCTATGGAAAATAAAACTTTAGGTTCTTTTTTTTTCTCCAATTCAATAAGTCTAAAAACAGATGGACTATTGAGTCTATGGCAAATCGTACAGATCACACAAGCCACACAAATCGCACAAACGGTTGTAGGTATAGATCATGAAGAAGCTTCGTCTCCCCCTCTCTCTCTCTCTCTCTCTCTATATATATATATATATATATATATATAATGACTCTATGGTTTTTACTTTTTTGTATAAAATATACGAAAAAACTTAAGTTCTACTGAATGTTTTAATTAATTTGAGGTGTCTCAAAGAAACAAAGGTATACCCATGTACATACATGCATGTATTTTTATGTATACAAAAAAAAATAAAATAAAATAAAAAAATACACATATACATGTGCATATACATACACATATATCACTTTAAATCTAAATCATATTCGATGATACGTACTTTTTTTTTCTTTTTTTTCTGAGCTCTAAATTGTATGCAATATATTATGAACAATACAAGATGTACAATAAACGAAGATTAAAATTAGGAGCATTTTTTCAATCATCCAATTTTTTCTTCCTTTTTTTTGAATAATCTACAGATTCGTGTAACAAAAATGGTTTATGAATTAATAGTGAAAAAAAGAAAGGAAATCCTCGGAGAGGTAGACAAAAAGGTACACTAAAATTATTTAAGTTTTTATAATTACGACGAGTATGCAAAATTTACAATGGCAGTGATAATGATTATTATGATGATCAGAATAGTCACAATAATTACACCAAATTTTTAGGAATAAAATATAAATTAAAAAAAACAAAATTATCATTATATTTCTATATACATGGGAAATCAAATCATAATATGAATGTACGTACGTACGTACACATTTTTTTTACACATTCTTAGGTTAGTATGCTGTCATGGTGCTCAGACGTACATGTGGAGCTAGCCGGATAAGTTACGAGAAGAGTTATGTATTCACTGTGAATATTAAGAAAGAAATTTTACAAAGGATATTCCTTGGTTCCTTTCTTATGTTGCAAAAAAAAAAAAAAAAAAAAAAAAAATTATTATGGACTATACGAATTTATATATACAAAAATGTATATATTTTATTTAAAGCTTGTCTAATTTTTTCTATACTAATAGAGGTACATCATAAATACACAGCTATTCACTCCCTTCATTTCAAATTTCCATATTGTGCTCATTAAATAGGAAAAACAAATAAATCGTTCAGATTTGAGGTGAGAGACAATAAAAAAAAAAAAAAAAAAAAAGAAAAAAAAAAAAAAAAGGTATAGACATATGTATGCACATATGGATATATAATATTCACATGAACCCCTTACCATTCGCACGTTTGTACGTGTGTATGTACTCTCATATATGCACATATACATGTGTATTTATATGCATACATATATATGTATGTTTGTAGGGAATATTTAACATGTATGAGCATTAATATATACCAGGTTTTAAGCAAATGAGACAGTGATAAATGTTCAAAAACGACAGAAAAAAAAAAAAAAAAAAAAAAAAAAAAAAAAAAAATCGTTTTGAATAATTTAATTAAAAATTAAAAAAATGTAATTTTTTTTTTTTTTTTTTTTTTTTTTTTTTTTTCTGTCGTTTTTGAACAAAATACTATGAAAAATAAACTCATTAGATTAAGCTGAAATTAGTATTTACAACAAAACAAGGCAAAAAATACATGAAAAGAAAAGAAGAAAAAAAAAAAAAAAAAAAATTATCAATACCTATACAAGTAAAGCTTATCCATTATTACAAGAAATGAGCGTGCAGATGTTATTAATATATTTCTATATGTCTCAATATTTGTAAACACACGCCCTTTACAGGTTCATATGCGTAAATATATTCTATATGGCGTACAAATATAAAGAATAATAAATTAGCTGGTTCGTACTTTTACCTTATAAAAGTGCATATTGCTTTGTATGGAAAGTGGAAAAAAAAAAAAAAAAAAAAAAAAGTTAAATAATTCCTATGAATAGTGATAAATTTTATTTTAACGCTACTTTTAAAAGAATAAAATGAATGTAAGACAATGCATAAAGGTAAATAATAAAGGGAAAATATGGGGGAATGGAAATTTTAAAATTAAAAAATTTACTGCATACAAAGTGGTAAGTAGACTCTAGGATAGAAGCGTGGCTTTGCAAAAGTGGCCAAGTTAAAAATGGAAAATTAAAAAATGGAAAGTGAAAAATGGGGAACAAAAATTAGAAACAAAATTTGGAAAACCAAAAGTGGAAAATCGAGTATTGATCATTCATACACTGACGAATCGTGTAATGCAGAACAGTATTCAAAATTTAATCTTTTTTTTTTCTATTTTTTTTCAGACATAGATATGAAAAGGAGGGAAATTATATCATACTCAAAAAAAAAAAAAAAAAAAAAAAAAAAAAAATTTATGAAAGCGATTGCAGAAACGACTACACTACACTGCACAGTGATACTAAGTCCAATGATATTTGTGGTAGAGAAAAAATATTTAAATACTTTAAAAAAAGAAAAATGAAAAAAAAAATGTTCATGTAGAAGATTCCATATTTTGCTTCCTCCCCGATCGAATAAAATAAAACAACTGTGTAAAAACTGGTAATAAAAACAAATAATATAAAAAAAAATAAATAAATAACCAGTAATTTTAACAAATCACCTGAAAAGGGAAGCAAACATAAGTGTTGTAAAAAAATGAAATTTATGCAAAGTGGAGGCAAAGGAGAAAATTTTCCATAGTGACGGAATAAAACAGCGAAACAACGTAAATGGGAAATGAAAGAAAAATGTAAAAATGATATAAAAATTACACGCGCATAAATCTACCCGACGCACTTAATTATGCAGACAATGTTGCACATGTGTAAGGAGACATAAAAAAAAAAAAAAAAAAAAATGCTAATTTGATGGGTTTGGGAGAATGTGAGAAATAATGGAATATTGATAAAAAAAACTTCTATAAAATTAAAAAAGAAAAATAAATGAACAAATTGTTTGTTAACTTTTTTTTTTTTTCTTTTGCACACTGGGAATATCTATTTTGTGCCATAGATGCATAAATAGGTGATCGTGCACAGGTCGGTGTAAATACTTACACGTTGCGATATTACTAACTGGAAAAGAAAAAAAAATGAAATAAGTATAATGAGTAATGCTGGAAATGTGAGCAAATACGAGAAAAATGAGCAATACGAGTATGAGCCATGCATGTAAAACAATGTGAATATTGAATACTCCTCATAAACATTCGGTTTGAATAAACATACAATAAAATTTACTTTTTACAAAGAATCACCGTTTAAAAGAAGAAAAAAAAAAAAAAAAAAAAAAAAAAAAAAACATTGGATATATGTGCAGCGCGTTCAAATTTTCATGTCTACGTACATGTCTATGTTTATTTCAATTTTCATATCAATTTTATTTTAATTTTTATAATTAAAAAAAAAAAAAAAAAAAAAAAAAAAAAAAAAAAAAAGCATTGGATATATGTGCAGCGCGTTCAAATTTTCATGTCTACGTACATGTCTATGTTTATTTCAATTTTCATATCAATTTTATTTTACTTCTTATAATTCGTAAATTCAGATTTATTGTTTCAGATTTCCCATCTGTTTATACTTATAGCCATTATCTTGAAACTGTTTTTTGCATGTTTTGCATTTTTTTTCTTTAATTTACATTGCATGAACGGGGTAAGACAAAATGTGAAGCAAACTACGTTAAAAAAAAAAAAAAAAAAAAAAATTGTCAGATTAAATACAAGCAGTGGTATGGCATGTTGAATGGAATTGTGGCGAAGCGTAAAAGGAAAAATACGAAAAAAATATATACATAAATGGTTAAAGAAATCAGACGCTGAACACTTGGGTGTTTGAACATATGAACCAAAAGCTGAAAAGCAACAGAGAAATTCAAAAAATGTGTCTTGTAAAAAAAGAAAAAAAAAAAAAATGGTGAAGGAATATATAGCCTTGTGCAGAATTTCCACATATCACGAAGGCGTACAAATTCAGTTGGTAGTATATGTCCAATTAGAATACATTGTCTTTGAGTGAAAAGAAAAAATGAAAAATGAATGATCAGTTAAGTGAGAAATATTTTAACTATGTAGAATATAAAAGTCTACCTTCGTGTAATTTTAAATTGCTGAGAGAGCATAAAAAATGTGTTTTTCACATGCAAGTAGTGCAAATATGGAAGAAGAGCTCTAAAAAAGGAAAAAAAAAAAATAATAAATAAATAAATAAAGAGACATAGACAGAGAAAGAGAAAGATAGATGCAAGAACACTCAAATTGGAAAAGAAATGGTAGAATGTGTGTTCACCTCACTGAATCTGTTGCACATGTTCGTATATACACAGAGCCACAAATAGGCATAATCACAAACATGTTTACATACATATGTGTATGTATATTAATATTTTACCGCGAGAATGAAGAGAATCAGGACTAAAAAAGTCTTATAATAAATAGGGGAAATTAAAAAGGTGGAAATATAATCAATAAATTTCAATGAAAAAAATAAAGATGGAATTTTTTTTAAAATAATCATATACATGTACATTTTTTAAAATGTTAAATGAGAATAATTAAAAGCTACATTAAAAAAAAAAAAGTCCTAAAATTAAAGGAGGGAAAATTCATAAATGTCTGCTTTGTTGTTTATACAAAATCTTATATGATCACATTCGATTGTTAAAATTATTTGCTCAAGTAAAAAAAAAAAAAAAAAAAAAAAATGTAAAGAGAAGTATAGAATGAAATATAACAGGAAAGACATTGTGTTTATTTCAAAACTATGAATAGTAAGGATTTAATATAAAAAATGAAGTCCAAATGAAAAGAAGCAAGTATGATAACAAAATTCAGGATTATTTTTAATTGCAGTTAATTGTTTTGTTATGTACACAAAAGCATATACACTTGAGGGATCAATTATTTTTATAAGTATGCTAATGTTGCAACAAAATAGAATAAAACTTCTATTCTTGTCTTAAGTATTATAGTTTTTTTTTTTTTTTTATAACAATAATTTTCATACTTTTTTTTTTTTTTTTTTTTATTTAAAAATGGATTTTTAATCGTAAACCCTAAGATTTTTCTTACACCAATTGTCTATCGTGTAATTACAACACAAAAGGGAAAGACAAAAAAAAAAAAAAAAAAAGAAAAAATAGAATGTGAATAGGAATTTCACTTAAAAGGAATGAAATGGTGCATTTGCAAACATAAGAAGCGTAGTGTATATTTTTATCAGCAATTAGACATTTTTACCATTTGTGAATATCCAAGTTGTATAAATTTTTGAAACCCTCCGTTCATGTTTTCACATGTAATATACTGGGATCAATGCTGAGCAAAAATTTAATGATTTTTTATTTTATTATTTATTTTATTTTTTTTTTTTTATGAATGTTCATAAGAAAAAGTAAATTCTGCATATAGCTAGAAATTAAAAAAATAATCATTTAATATGTTTCAATATTGAAAAAGCCAAAATGAAAAGTATGGATTTAGAAATAATAAAAACGGGAAAGACAATTACGAGGAGAAATTATTAATTTCAATTTAAGATTTTTATGAGGAACCATTTTTTATATATAGCTTGAAAAGGGATGGATGAAAAAAAAAAAAAAAAAAAAAAAAATTGTGAACATTTCAGAAAAACCAAGAACAACTATTTTAAATAACCACAAGCAGTTTTGTCTTTTCCCTTCAATCAAGTTATGAATAAAGCAGGGTAAATTTTTTGTTTCGTTCAGGATTTTTTAAACGCAAATAATTCTTATTTTCTTAAATGTAGCATTACTTTTAATTCTAGACTTGTTACTCTAATGGATTACTTTCATATTTAAGAAATTGTTATTTGATTTCTTGGATATTATAACCGGATGTGTGTTTTTGTATGTGGGGTCAGGGTAGTAGGGACTTGTTACAAATATCTGATAGGTAAAAAAGTCACTTTAATACTTGAACAAAATATGATTTTTAAGAATTTATTTTAAACTATATTTAAAATGATGAAAAATGGTTTTACGAAACATTTTTTATCTTAATGAACTCTGTTCCTTTTTTTTTTTTTTTTTTTTTTTTTTTAAATTGAGCATAATAACTTTTGGCAGCATCTAGAAAACACCAATGTTGTTTGTTGTGTGCAATTATGTGCTTATAATATGTTGGAATATTTTTTTTCTTTTTCTGCCACTTTTCACAAGTTGAATGAGATGATTTTTTTGGAATATATATTCATGCATATATATACACATATTAACATATTAACCTGTGGGGGGTTATTACTTTACACACATTGCTATGCAATAGCAAAGATTCGATAGGTATATTTTTTTTTGTAAACATAACAAAATTACAATGATAAAGCCATTCTGATGATCTCCAATGTTTAGGTTAGACAGGTACAACTTGTGAAATATGAAAGAAGAGGAAGCAGAAGAAAAAGAAGAAGAGGAAGAGGAAGGCTTCTTTATGGTCTTTCCCCTTTGTTCACCTATGCCTACTTACAACAGTTCAATTGAAAAGTGGAATTTCTTTGAACATTAAATTGATCCATTTATATTTTTAAGAAATTGTCTTAATTCAGGAATAATTTTGAGGACTCATGAAAATGGAATGAGCATAATTAAAAAGGGAAAAAAAAACGGAAAAAAAAAAAAAAAAAAAAAAAAAAAAAAAAAACAGGGTTATAGATGAGTAACGATGGAAGAAAGAGAGCTGTAGACACATGGTAATAAAAAAGGAAAGAAAAGGGATATAATTTGGATCATTTAGGTGGTATTACATTAAAGGTGATGACATATTTTTTTATTAACAGTAATCTATATATACATAAATTATGATGATATACAAGATTTAATCTAAAAGGAAATATTAAATAATTTTTTGTTTAGACAAATTTAAAATTTATAATACGTTCTTTGTGGTGTGTGTGTGTGTGTGTGTGTGTGTGTAGATGTGGGGGAAATGGGGTGAGGATAATTTAAAAAAAAAAAAAAAAAAAAAAGGGGGGCAAAAAATAATCTTTGTAACACAAATAAGTAAATTGCATATATACAGTGTAAATTTTATTCTTTTTTTTTTTTTTTTTTCCTTGAGAATCCACTGTTCCATTTACATGGTTTCTTTAATAGGTACAAGCCATAAAAGGGGTGAGTATATTATCAATGATATCAAATAAAAAAAAGCTAAAAATGGGGTAAAGGAGGTTCTTACAATGAGTTATAATACTGTGGTGATGATGCAAGATGTTCGGTAGGTTATGCTGAGGTGCACATAGGATGAATAGATGAATGGATGGATGAATAAATAAATGAATGAATAAAATAAAATGGATGAATTTACTTGTTATTTTAAATGTGCTTCTGTATGACGTTATGTCGGAAAGCCATCCACCTGAAAAGTTAAAAGCGGGATTGGCGAACATGGGCAAAAAATGAGGGAAAAAACATGAGAGGGAAAATTAGAATGAAACTATATATTCTGCATTATTCTAATTTTGTGGCTCTTACCAAAATAAGCGCTGATAGACCAAACGACGTAGTATAAGCTTTGTACACCCATCCATCTCCCTAATTCATTTAAAAAAAAAAAAAAAAAAAAGGTGGAGAAAATATATTTACTTAAAATCAAAGATATATATTCATATTAAAAATGTATTTTCTAGTTGTGTATATTTGTCTACATCTCACATATTTTACGCATAGTTTAATTTAAAACATTTTTTTTTTTTTTTTTTTCTTTTACAAACCTGTGTACCGGTTCGTGTCAATAAAGTCATACAGAATACTTTTATCTATAGAATTGGTACAATTTTGAAAGACGCTCCTAGGGAAGAAGAAATGAGAAAATGTAGTTTTATGGATGTGCTTCTCAAATGGGGGGTGTGTTTTGCTCTGTTCGTACAAATACTAATTGGTGATCTTCATTTAAAAAAAAAAAAAAAAAAAAAAAAGGGTACCTAAAAATGTGAACCTTCAAAACATCCTGATAATTGTGTATGTATAAGAGTGAACATAGCAACCTGAAAATGGGAAAAGGGTGTGTCATATGGTAGGGGTGGTGGTGGTGGTAGAGGAGAAGGACGTCTATAGAAACGAATTTCCTCTTTGCTGTGTTAATTTAAGCATAAACTTAGTGAGCATAATTAAAATATATGGCAGTAGCCTAAAAGCAGTAGGGCATATTCGTTTTGTGATATTTTTAAAATAATTACAAAAAACCAATGCTCGTGAAGAATAGGGAAACCTGGGCCCTCCCCAGGGACTTGGACAGTTTTTGCGAGACTATGCGGGGGAAAAAGGTAAAAAAAGGTATATATATATATATATGTATGAACAAATGTGTGTTGTTTCGCGCCCCATTTTAACGGACGGATTTGACAGATGTAAAAGAATACACTTCAGCTCATTCGCTTGTACAATACATACGAGATAGGACGATCCTTTTTTTTTTTTTTTTTTTTTTTTTTTTTTTTTTTTCTAAGAAATTACTGTATGTAAAAAAGGTTAAGAGGACAGGAATAACAATGTTGAGGACGCACATCAAAATGGGAGAAACTTTATATTCGGATTTCAGAAACAGAGAGAAGTATTTAAATGTCATGCCTACAAAGGTCAGGGTGCATAATGAGTGTGTAACGGGGATGCACCAGTGTAGGATATACTTGTGTGTGTGTGTGTAGCAGAAGGGGTGGTTTTCTACTCCTTTTAAGGGAAAACATTTGCAGATAAGAGACATGTCAATATGAAAGTCTTCCCATCCTTCACTAGAGATGGTAATAAAAAAAAAAAAAAAGTGTTAATGCAAGAAGGGTTACCTGCTCCTGCTAGGGTAATGATATGTGACACAAAAACAATGTATGGTATATGATTAGTGGAAAAGCAAAACATATGTTTTTTGTCATTTTTTTTGGTAATTAATTCTATTTCTTCAGGACTTTTCATTTGATCTATACTATTATTCTGCCATAGAAAACTTATCAATGTTTGCGGGAGAATTGTTAATATAGAAAACTGAAATATGATAAAAATGTTTTTAATATTCCACTTGTCGTTATACACATAAAATAATATGAGACAAAAAAAAGGTCCTAGCATGGTAGCTGCAGTGCTTATAAGTTTTTGGTATGTGAAAATGATGCTCTTCTTTCCTGAGAAATAGTCGATATGTTTTTTTTGGTTCGTGTATTTGTGAATATATGTGCTACTCGATTGTGGTGTGGTGGTGGTGTGGTGGAAGGATTGGCGATAAAAAGACATAAACACCATTTTGCAAAAAAGTATGCACATGTGGATAGGGATACAAGTAAAAATATTATGTAGTGATATATGAACAACTCACCTCGATCTATGCTTTCTATGAATATGGACTCGGTTATAACATGGGAGCACTCATGTAACATCTTGGTTATGGCAGTGACAAATATAATTAATCCTAAACTGTTGGTTCTTATAAACATGTAATGAATAATGTTAACTAAGAGATATGATACGGATATAATTTTCAGAATTTTTTTCCTTTCATTTTTATGCTTATCACAGTAATACCCCACTAAGGGGGTTATGATTAAACATACTGAAGAATTAATAATAGACAACAAACCGATGATTTTATTTTTCTTAAATTTTAAATAAATATAATGATCATGCAGAAAGGTGTTTCTCATTGAATAATTTATCCTGTCAAAGAATTGGTGGAAGAACATCAGAATAATATTTATGTGCCATCTTCTTTTCCCTTTCCATTTTTTCATTTTTCCTTCATCATTAGGATGTTCCTTCTGCGTCCACGTTTCTTAACTTTTGCCTCCACGCTTCTTAACTTGTGAGTACACTTGGAATGTCTTGATTAAGGGCAGTACACACTGTCAAGCTTCGCACCTTTCTTCTGCAGACAAATATGAAAAAAAATATAGTGATCCTCCTCTCAGAGATTGCTTTTCTCTATATCCTTATCGATGATTCTGAAGTTTTTATTTTTTTTCTTACAAGGAAAAAGTTACATATGTCTGATGATTTAAAATGGGAATTCCTTAACTCTTACAAATTTTTTTTTATTTTTTTTTTTTTATTTATTTTTATTTTTTGGTGGGTGGGTGGGGGGTATGGACACCACCACGTGTTAAGAGAACTGCTCCAAATTAGCTTCTCTGAATTGACAGTACTAAATTAGTAAGAAGAAAAATATGAATTGGCATATATCCAGGTGATCTGTTGTGATAATGATGATGATCATGGGAGAGTGAAAGTGACGAAGGTTGGGCATAGTGTTTAGTTTAGACGACTTAAGAATGGAATTAAATAAGAACGGGGTGGGAGTTCAGAGTGTACAGAAAAAAAAGGAAAAACATAATAGCCTAAACGGGTTGTAGCATGCATGTGTGTCTATGCTTTGATTTTCCCCAGTTGGAGTGACTCAGATATATATATATTGGATTTACATATTGGCATTTGGTGCGTTTAGCTAGTTGTCAAAAAATCATCCATTTTGCAAAAGTCACTTTTTTTTTTTTTTTTATGTATGCCACTAGACATGAGCAATCCAACGTAGAAACATATGATATACTCCATAAAGTTAAAACGTAGAGATGTGTGGACTTACCATTTTTGCTTCACTTGAGTCCTTTTTATAACCAAAGAATTAGCATTTTTATTTTAATGGAGATATATTAGCACTTAATATTATGTCAGGCATTAGTATGCAGTAGGGCATTATGACTATAGTTATGAATAAAGCAATATGTATGTTTATGCATATGTATGTTTATGCATATGTATATTTATGCATATGTATATTTATGCATATGTATATTTATGCATATGTATATTTATGCATATGTATGTACATATGTGTGCGCCAGATGTACTAATGAGTGTTTCACACGTAGTAAGTAGCGGCTAGAGGACATTCCTAAAAGTATATCTTCAAATGGTGAAGATGTAGGTGGCTCATGATATAGATAGGTAATTATGTAAAAAAAAAAAAAAAAAAAAAAAAAAAAAAAAAAAAAAAAATGAAAAAAAAAAATAAGGGGAAAAAAAGAAATAAAAAAAAGAGAGGGAAAAGGGGGAAAAAAAAAAAAAAAAAAAAAAAAAAAAAAAAAAAAAAAAGGGGGAGAAAATAAAAATAAAATTAATAGGTAATTATGTAAAAAAAAAAAAAAAAAAAAAAAAAAAAAAAAAAAAATAAATGTATTAAAACAATTAGGGGTCAAAATGCCTTTATTCTACTGCTGCGTAAGTTGGGAAACAACGAAAAAAAATAAAAAAAAATAAAAAAATTAAAAGGGGGTACGTGGGATAGATGGGGCTAGTCGAGAAAAAGGAAATAAATACCAATTGTGTATTATGCATATATTTTAATGGGTATAGAGCTTTCATAAAAATACATAAAAATTGACATATGAGAATGAGAGGAAAAGGCTGATTCAAAAAAAAAAAAAAAAAAAAAAAAAAAAAACGCTGTTGTGAAGGAATATTCGGAGGTGAAACAATTGTGAAAAGAATAATTCCAAATTGTTGGAAGGCAAACAAGAAAAGGATGTAATAGCGGTACAATGTAAGTGCATGTCATGGTGCCTAATTGTAAAGCTTCAGATGCATAGAAAGGTTCAGACGGGATAAAGCATAAAGGGTGCTCCATAATATATGCATATATGAATATATTCAATATATAATATGTATACAATGTATATATTATATTTTTTTTTTTTTTTTCCGCTTTCGCTGAAACTTTTAACTTCTCCTGATTTCATAAATCACAATGACAGATAATGCCTTTTTTCGAGATTTTATTTAGTGCACTATATTTCAAACAAATTGGAAAAAAAAATGACACCTTCTGTGTTGATATTCTTTTAGTGCCAAAATTATCGTCATATTATTATTAGTGGATGATTACACGAATTTTGCCTCCACTTTTTTTTTTTTTTTTTTTTTTTTTTGTAGTTGTTGTTGTTGTTGTTGTCCTGGATTCTGTGAATTGTGTATATGTATACAATATATATATGTGCATATATGGGTATGCAATTTTTTTTCCCTTTACCCTTCTTGTGGAAACAGAACCCCAAGCTCAGAGGGAAGGGAGTAGGTAGTACCTAGCGGAGGTGTACTAAAAAAAGAGGTTAACTATTTATTTATTCTATTTATTTTATTCTATTTATTTTATTCTATTTATTTTATTCTATTTATTTTATTCTATTTATTTTATTCTATTTATTTATTCTATTTATTTTATTCTATTTATTTTATTTGTTGTATTTTATTCTATTTATTGTATTATATTTATTTGTTTTTTCCCGTGCGCGCTGTTAATAACATGAACAGTACAGCATGTTTTCGCTTTTTCGAATTGAGGATGTTATAAAGATTGAAGCTCATTTTAAGGATGACGAGATAAAAAGTGTAATTGAGTTCTTGCTAAGAGCAAAGTATATCGATAAGGTACGAGATTCAAAAGACCGAGGAGCACATTATAGTTTCCACAAATGCTCATAGAAGGATGGTTTCATATGTTAGCCTAGCCGAGTCACTGATGTCATAGCTCATAGCATAGTGCACATACGTACATGTACATATATAGAGAATATACATATGAATGGACATGTCCGGTTGTAGTAGGGGGAGTGATCATCCTCGACGTTACAACCTTGAATAGAGTTTTATTATAAAAGAAACGAAGAAAAAGCGATACAACTTTTTTTCTTGCTAAGGGAACATATACATTTCAACATGGAAAATATAATATTGCATTATTACATTTAGCAACTTTTTTTTTTTTTTTTTTTTTTTTTTTTAAGGTGCTTCAAAATGTTGGTTTGTGTGTTGGATTATATGACATACTTGATGTAAAAAACAAAGAAATCCTGAAAGGCACAGGTGAAATTAGATTTAATGTGATTTTTAGACTTGTATATTTCCAGCCCTTTGAAAACGAAATTATTGAAGGTTTTGTTAAGAACTCGGATTCTAATGGAATTATAAGTAAAATTATATGTACCCGTGGAGTGATGCGTATGTATGTGCATGATTAAGTGGATGAGTATGTATGTGCATACGTGTGGACGTGTTATTCCTTGAGTGTCCCAAGGAGGTACCTGAAAATACATGTTCGATGTGGTAACACACGCGTAAGCATCCTATTTTCCATTTAATTTGTAGTAAGCATAGGCTTTTTCGAAAACATAAGGGTGAACTCTGCCAATCTGAGGGAACCAAAGGAATTGTACGATAAATATGATAAAAAAAAATAAATAAAAAAATAAAATAAAAATAATAAAATAAAAAATAAAATAACAAAATAAAAATAATAAATTAAAAATAATAAAATAAAAAATAGAATAAAAATAAAAAATATAAACATAAAATTTTAAAGAAACAAAAATAAATGTCCCTGCAATAGCTGTAGTGTATGAATTATAGGTCTGAAGACGACCACACGTGTTACATATATGTGTACATATGTGTGCACTTATATATATGTACATATGTATGCTTTTTTTTTTTTTTTTCTTCACCCGGTTAGTGATGTGGAGAAGAAGGAATGGTACTGGACATACGAAGGAATTAAATTTTTTTATGCAAAAAATGAATTAATAAGAGTGAGAATTTTGGATACCTATTTCAGTGGTAAGCAAAGCAGGGAAAAAAAAAATAGAAAAACAGAAAAACAGAAAAACAGAAAAACAGAAAGGCAGAAAAAAATACATTTAAGGACTGCACATGAGCTGTGGCAACTGAAGACTAATGTGTATATATACTAGCGCGTACATGAAATATGCACATAAAAATATGTATGTATTTTTTTTTCGTCATTTTTTTGTAGACCCGAACGATATAAGAAAAGACAAAACAACACCATCCATGTCTATCACGGTAATATATTAGGGAGGAAGGATAAGTGATTACACTATTTGTTGATATGCTTTTTTTTTTTTTTTTACTTTGAATTGTCAATATAGCCATTTTGATACTTGACTGTTTTCCCATATTTCTTCATCCATTTATGTTATGCAAATTTTTTTTTTTTTTTTTTTTTTTTTTTTTTTATGTAGGGCACTGTACAACAGGATGGATTAGGATTGGTCAAATGGTGGAACTAATATATTACCTATGATATTATTTTTTTTTAAATTAATAAATGGATGAAGTATTTTTTTTTTTTTTTTTTTACGCATGATACGCACATCACATTAGTATATTGTTAATGTGCATGTTTATGTAAAGGAAACATGAGTTATAAACCCTAAGGATAGAGATGTGATGAATTGGATACATGTATAATCCTACACATGTTCTTCTAAACAGATACAAAAGAATTACTTTTAATTTTGTGATCTCTAGGTATGAGGTTATATTATTCCATATTCCCTCCTCGTGTGTATCACTAATGTAAATAAGAAAAATGGAACAAAGAAAAAAAAAAAAGAAAAAAGGATATCTCTTGGAAATGTAAATATAATTTATATGGCCCTAGACGATACAATGGGTTTTAACAAATTCTAACTTATTAGTATATCGCCCTTAGTATGCCTTTATTTTATGCTATTATTTTATTATTATTATTTTATTGCTATTATTTTATTATTATTATTTTATTACTATTATTTTATTACTATTATTTTATTATTATTATTTTATTACTATTATTTTATTACTATTATTTTATTATTATTATTTTATTACTATTATTTTATTACTATTATTTTATTACTATTATATTATTATTATTATTATTATTATTATTATTATTATTTTTTTTTTTTTTTTCCCTACTTTTTTGTATGAACTGTCATGTATTTAAAAACCTTCCTCTGTCTTTTCCCTTTTATGAACGAATTTAGCTTGTTTAAAATATTACAAAAGAATTCAACATCCCATTGATTATTCATCCTTTTTCCTTTGGGAATTGACACATCATTCTTAGCATACCATCAGATGAAATAAGACATTTATCCGTGTTAGAGAATACTAATATGATAGGTTTTCGAAACTTGTTCAATGTCGAAAGTTTTAATTTGTGTTTATAAAAACTTGTCACTTTTTTTTTTTTTTCTTTCAAAATTGATTTTGCACGGGAATAGAAGTTATGTGAAGTCGATTCAGGCCCACTACCCTTATGTAAGAACAAAATTAGGCTATTATGAAGGGGAAGGGAAAAAAAAAAAAAAAAAATAATAAAATCACGCAACCGTTTCTAATGGTACATCATATAAGCATGTAGATTTTTTTTTTTTTTTTCCGTTCATGTGTGCGAATCGATGCCGATCAACCTGTATCGTCAATCTCTGACAATTCACTTTCGTCTGATTCTATTTTTCCAGGTTGGTATGTGTGAATAAATGCATGTTTTGATTTTATTCCATTACCTATATAGAAGTTGAAAAATTGTTTATTTGAGTATACTGTAAAGGCCCCGTAAAAGAACAAATTGTATATAACGATTATGTCGTAGTGTAGATTATGATCACCATAGTAATTTCCATGATTGTAATGTCTCATTTTCCATGTGTGAATATTCTGATTTTCCTTTTGTCTATTTATGCTTCTCAATATTTTTAAAGGTGGGTTTTGTTTAATGAAGGTTTTTATTTTTGCATTTTTGTTGCTTCCAATTTTTGGATAGCTGATATGCCCATTTGGAAGGAAGTTATACTTAAAGTAGACCCAGTTCTCTAATTGTAACAGAATATTTGTATCAAACTGAAATTTTTTATTTTCTATTAAATCATCATCATGATAATCTTGCTTGACTTCATTGTTCCGTTTGTTTTCATCATCATCATCATCTTCCCATTGATCATTCTCTATATTTTCATTTTCTTCCTTGGATTCCCCAGAATCGTCAAATTTTTCTTTAGAACCATCCGAATGTTCTACTTCACCCTCTTCATTATTGTCTGAATCTATTTCTTTTTTTCTTTTCACAATTCCCTGTTTTTTTTTTCCACCCTCAGTACTTATGTAATATTTCTTAGGAGATATATGTGTATAGGATGATATGAGAGAAATGAGGGCTCGGAGGTAATGCTTTTCTTTTATTGCAATATTTGGAAATGAGGTTATAGTTTTGTTCATATTACCAGTAAGTAGTTTATTCGCTCTACTAGCTATTTTGATGTATTCTGGTGTTGTATGTTTTAGCTGAACCCAATCTTCCGTTCCGTTTACAGATACCCAGTAGATGTATTTGTTGACCTTTTTGTTGAAATTGGCATAGTCTTCCTCTTTGTATTTAAATTCGCACTCGCCCTCTTTCTTGGAAGTTTGTCCTCGGGTTCTTTTCTTAGTCCTCTTTTTGATTGCATCGTCTGTGTCGTCATCTTCATCCTCTTCGTCATCTTCATCCTCTTTGTCATCTTCATCCTCTTCATCACCTCCCGACTTGTCATCCGCTTGTCCTCTCACCATCGATGAAAAAGTGTCGCTGCTGGAGGATATAGATTGATTGGAATCGCTTAAAATTTTGAACTTTTTTTTTTTCCTTTGAAATAACAGATTAGAATCAGCCTTTAGCAATCCTTCCAAAATGTAGTAATCATTTTTTACCCCTTTCAGAATTCCCCAGAAATTTAATGACATCAATTCATGTTTATATTTTTGAAGAACATTTTTTATAGATTCATTGATGAAACAAACAGAATGGTTTTTAATATGATACCCTGCCCAATTGATTAATTTCGCTTGTTCGTAGAAATTTTTCATGAATGGCAAATGAGCAGGCTTGTCATTTGCATCTGGTTGGAATAATAATTTTATTTTAGCTAGCCAAACTTTTTTTTTTTTAATATAATCCTTTAGTATGTAATTATCTAAATTAGAGTCCTTTAAGTTTAGTTCTTTCGAATTATTTCCTGAATCATTGTTTGTGGTGGAAAAAGAGGAAGAAATGGGGTCCTTTTTTTTACTTTCCTTAATATGATTAGATATCATTTCAAAATTTTCATAGCATTTTTCAGGCTTCTCTACAATGATAAAGTTGATTAAATCACATATATGGCTATATACAGAGTGTCCATTTTCGTTTCGATTTTTTAGATAGTCCTTCGCGTTGTTAAGAGACAACATTAGGTTATTCTTCATTTTGGACACGTGCGTGTGTGTGTGCTATATGTACATTATATGTGTGCATGTATACTATATGTACATTATATGTGTATATATATATATATATGTATATATTTTTATCTCATTATTTTAAGATGTCTAGTGATGCAGGGTTCCTTTGTGAGTGTCCGTGAGCAGGAAATAATATTTCTTCCATTTAAAAAATTTATAGCATAATATTTAATGATACACAATTTGAATTACAAGAAAAAAAAAAAAAAAAAAAAAAAAGTGGATAACTTTCAATCTGGTTTTTTTCGAATATGTTGTCTAATGTGTGAATGTGGTGACAAATTGAATCGAACTTGACTCATAACCAAGTTTAGTTCAACTTAAATGAGTTTAAATTTAAGTTTCTCGAAGGTTGAGGAAAATAGTATTACATGTGTTTTATTTAATCATTGCGTGAAAAATGAAGAAGGCAAAAGTACAGGTATTAGTTTAGAGGTGTAACTGAAGAAATGCCATCTACGTGACACATTACAATATTTAGAATAGATGTATATACCCAAGCGAGAAATATAAGACCCGAAGAAAAATGCACAAACAAATATGTAATATTAACTCATTGCTCATGTAACCGAATTGTGCAAATTCGTTCTACATTTAATAAATTCTGTGGGCAGCAAAATGTGTTTCATGCACTAATTTAAGGAAGTTAGTTAATTTTATTATTGCTTCTACTATTATTACTACTACTATTATTACTACTACTATTATTACTACTACTATTATTACTACTACTATTATTATTATTACTATTATTTATTTTTTTTTTTTTAAAGTATTATATGGTAAGTGTACTTTACAGTGAGGTAATCATAATTTGATGAAGCATGTAGAGAGATACAATGAGTGAATAATATAAGAAACTTGAAATTTCTATATTTGTTCATATTTGCATTTAATACATAGTCTCATTAAATTATTTGATAACATTGACTATATCTTTAGTACCAATTCTCTTACAATGTGGAAGTGGAAAAACTGATGTATTGGTTTTTCTCTCATAGTACCCCACCTGTGCATCTAAAACGGAAGAATGTGCATTGTGCGGATGTCGCGAATGGGTCAGTGTGAAAGTTTTTTTTCGGACTATTTTAGGTGTAGCAAAAGAAGGAAATTGGATCTTACATTATTTCAATTAAACGAATTGTTTCATATGAGTTCCATTTTGACGATCTTTTTTTTTTTTTTTTTTAAGATATAAAGGTTTCATGTGATGTGCGCGTACAGTTAAAAGGAAGAGATAGAGAGAGAAAGAGAGAGAGATAGAGAGAGAAAGGGAGAGAGAGAGAGAGAGAGAGAGAGAGAGAGAGAGAGAGAGAGAGAGAGAGAGAGAGAGAGAGAGAGAGAGAGAGAGAGAGAGAGAGAGAGAGAGAGAGAGAGAGAGAGAGAGAGAAGAAAAAAAAAAAAAAAAAAAACTTGGCCTTTAAGACAGCTAGTAAAGGGGCACAAAAATAGCCCTAGTATTTCTGCTTTTTTTTTTTTTTTTTTTATTTCTTATATTTCTTATATTTTGAAGAATAAAAAAGGGAACTCGAACCAATGGTGCTTGCTATTTTTCCTATTTGTTTTCATTTTTTAGTTGTTTTATGGGCGAGAAATTATATAAGTTATTTTCTTCATTAAAATTGCAAAAAAAAAAAGTTCCAGAAACATGTGTGTAGACATTTTGTTATGTAGATAACTCGAATAAGAATTGTCTGTTTCAGTTTCCTTTTAATGAAAACTGTTCAATTTTCAATATTACTGTTTTTTTTTTTTTTTGGCTTGAACACAGGTGTGTATATATGTGTGAATTGGTAATTTTTCTAAATTTTTTATTTCCTCTTTTCCAAAAATTGTGAACGTGTGATCATCTGTGTTGTAGAAACCCACTTGGAATTTTTTTGTCATGTATAAGTTTTTCATAATTGTAGAATTTTGGTAAAAATTAAGATGGTTGTGATTACCACAGAAGAAAATTTTGAAATATTATTTTGCATATACTTTTTTGCATGTCCATTTTGCATGTCCTTTTTTGCATGTCCTTTTTTGCATTAACATTTTGCATGCACTTTTTTTCAAAAATTTACCCAACCCTAATGCCCTTATGCTTGTATATTGGGACATGTCAAATTGAAATCCACATTTTTATTAGTGTACATTAGGAAAGAAGGAAGTTTGGAAAATTACATTAGAAAGAACTGCACTAGGAGAAGTGGAAAGAAGAAGAAGAAAAAAAAAAAAAAAAAAAATGGATTTCCGAAACTGTCTATCAAGTGAAGACTATATATTTGAAATAAAAAACAATGAACAACTTTTTTACAGTAGTAGGATGTCTGCCAATATAAAACCAATCTGGAGTTTTAAAGGACATAACAATTCGATTGAAGGAATACATCTAGTTGATGAAAATGAATTTGTAACAATTTCACACGATTGTTTTGTTTCTGTGTGGGCATTAGATAATAATAAAAAAAACATAAAAAATTTTAAGCTGGAGAATCCAATATTATGTTCTAGTTATTATAATAAAAGTAAATATTTATGTGTTGGCATGACAAATAAAAATGACAACTTATGTATAATTGATATAGGGAATAAAAAGGTTAATGATAAAGTAGATAGTCAATGTAATTCTATTTTTTGTGTAAATTATTTTGATGAAGATAGAATAACGTATGGTAGTAAAGAAGGTTGCATATGTTTAACTGATTTGAATAGGAAAAAAAATATATATAGATATGAAGAACATGGAGATTGTTTAAATTCCTGTGCATGGAATAGTGATTATAAGATACATATTTTTAGCACGTATAAAGGGAATGTACTTTTTTTTGATTTTAGACAAAATTTACCTATATATCAAAATGAATATTTACACTCAAAATATTCTGTAAATGTTGTATACTCAGATAGTAATTATTTGTATTCAGGTGCATCTGATTGCTTAATAAAAAAATTCGATTTGAGATATATTGATTTGATGAAGCCTTTGGAAATATACGTTGGACACACCTCTCCGATTAGATTTTTATCTTTTTCTAGAAAGTATGATAACCTCTTTTGTTCTTCATCAGATAATGGTAGTATAAAACTTTGGAAGACAGAAAAAAATGTAGCCTCTGTGAATAGATTAGGTAAATCTTTTGCTTATCCTTCAACTTGTGTTTCTACAATTAATACAGGGTGTACTTTTCTTCCCCCTCTCCAAGGGGATTTAACAAACAAAACAGTCACTGGACGACAACAAAACAAAAAAATTATCAAAAATTTTTTACAATTAAACAAAATAACGGTGCGAAGAAATAATCGATCCGGTTCCAACATGTCTGAACGTAATCGTGGAAAACCATCTGACCCGTTGAGAAATGAAAATAACAATAAAAATAAAGAGAAAATGGGAAAACAAGAACGAATTAGTGCACTTGATACATATAGAAAAAGAACAGTAACTCCAAATTTACAAACTAGCCTTGATAAAAGAGTTCCAGTTGTTTCTAGGGACGAATTATTCAACATGATAAAAAGGAAGGGTGCAAATAAAAATAAGGAAATTTTACATAACCTCACAAGTAAGGTATATTCAAAAAAAAATACATCCGCTGAATTTCTTCAGGTTCAAACGAAAGGTACGAGAACAAGTAGCAAGTTTAAACTATCACTAACATCACATCAGGGTCCAACAACATCTATAAATAATTTGAGCAGCAGTAGGAACCTGAAAGTTCAAGGTAAAATTAGTGAAAACATGTTAAATGATTCTATAGATAGAGAAAGCAGCAATATTCCCTTGAATCCAGAACAATTGGTTGTACCCTTATTTTATAATGCAAATGACTTAGTTAAAAGTCATATAAAAAAAATTAAAATAGCACATCCCACTGTGACAATGTTAAATCATAGAAGTAGGGTTTCTTCCATGGTTTGGATGGATGATTTTGTTTTATCTACATCATGGGATCAAACCGTGAAATGTTGGAACATTCGAAATTATCTGAATGAGTAATCTTGTGTGCAGACGAAAGGGTTCCCAGAAACAGCTCTGTGAAGTGTGGGAAGTCTCAAGGCAAACTTCATGGTCAGCAACTTCGGGCCTAGTCAACTTTTGTGGCTCTTCATTTCACCATTATACACACACACATACACACAGGATCACAAGAACAGAAGCTAACAAGCATAAGGTGTAAAAGCATGCCCACATTGGCCTCAAATGTAGAGTCCCATTAGAGGAAATTGAACATGTGCCAATTCTTTTTTTCCCTACGCTTTTTTGATGGTTCGAGGAACTTGATCTTAACCTCGTGCACGTGCCTAGAAGTGCACACCGTACTGGCAGATATTCTCTTTTAAATAAATACCCATGAACTGTTCTTTTTTTTTTTTTTTCTCCTTTCCTATTTTTCATCACTTTTAATTCATTTTTTGATAATTTTTTTTAAAAACGTAAAAATGTTCATATAATTTTGGTATAAAAAAAATGCAGGTGGGTGGGGGGGAAAGAAGAACGAAGAAAGATGAACGAAGAAAGATGAACGAAGAAAGAAGAAATAAGATATACCATGGCGATATAACCAAAAAAGGTTTGAGAGTTTTTGACGAGGGTGAAGGGATATAAGGGGAAAAAAATAAAAAAGACACATGGGCCAAATATATGGACGAAAAATATTTCCCCCTTTTCTCCAAGAGGTAGAGGAGTTGATGAAAAGATAAAAAATGGAAAAAAAAAAAGAAAAAAAAACAAGTGTTTCAGGGATTAACGACTAGGTAAACATATGTGATCACACATAATTTAGTACTTTGTTTAAATGTGTCTACGTGATGGAGTACAATTTGGAAGCATGATGTTTTTTTTTTTTTTTTTTTTTTTTTTTTTTTTACAATTCGTCTTTTTCGTTCGACTTCGAATCATCCTGAACAAATTCAGGTAAAGTTTGTCCCTTGAGCATGGTAAATTTAGCATCTCCTCCAGATATTTTTTCCAAAAGTTTTTCAATATTTTCTTTAGTTGCTACTAAGTCTTCATTCAGTTTTGCATATCGAATTCGTTTGTATGGGTTGAAAACAACGACTGAAGGATAATTCTTGAGTTCGAATAGGGCGCGAAAGTTTACTTCCGTGGCTATGTCTATCCACATGTATCGAAAGTTGATACCTCTGCAAAGTTAAGGTATGTTGTGATTTGGATGGTGCAATCGATATGGAAGATGCATGTGGTATGGGAGATGTAATCGATATGGAACATGTCATTCGAAAAAGCATGTATGTATGTATGCGTGTAAGCAAGGCACACGCTAATAGTGTTTTCCTTTTTTCCACACTCATGTGCTGTAAAAACGGGGACAGGGGGAAACTCACCTTCCATCTATGTGTGGCTTGAACTTCTCCTTTAAGGCAAGAAGCATGTCGATTTCTGATTTTTCCAATTTTTCTCCTTCCTTCAAATAAATGAGACACAAACCTTTATCGGCTTTCTTAAAACATATATCTCCATGAGACAATTTCGTGCATTTGGGTATGAGTTCAAATTTCCATGGTTTTTCTACAGTTTTTTCAGGAGATATGTCAAATCCTCCACCAAGGACAAATGTCTCCGAATGCACATTCAGCCAATCAAACATGTTAATAAAATTTGGTTTTCCTTTATAGGTATCAACAAGTTTATTTTTTTTTAAAATGATTATACTTGGAAAATTTTTGATGTTATATTTTTGAACTAGATCATTTAATTCGTTGTTAATATAACAGAACATTAATTTTTTATTAAAACTGGTACTTAGTGCATTTAGTACATAATTTGGTTTTTTTTTATTACTAAATATTAAGACTTTTGGCATGTTTTCATGTTTCGAAAGAAAAACATTAAAATCTTTAACTTCTTTAATAATATCTATTTTGGATGGAATAAGATACGTATATTTTTTTAAATTGGTTTCATTCATTTCTTCAGTAAATAGGAACTTGGGCATTGGGGCTATAGGGTATATCATGAAATGATGTGTATTTGTATTTTTATAATCTGGAACATAAAGAGATAATTCACTTTCACATAAGGTTGGGTTATCATCACAATCGGCAACACATAAGGTTAAGATTCCTTTAAATTTTGCTGCCACATCATTGTAACTTTGTATTACATTTTTTATATTTTTATTTGATTTTTTGAAAAATAAAACAGAAAATACTTTTTCACTCCGAAATTTGTTTACTACTGTGTTGAAATTATGATTATTCACGATTTGCAAATCGTGTTTTATTGAATCTAGGAGGGACTCAGCATTGCATGTCTTGTACAAAAGTAGTAGTAGCAGCAGCAGAGGAACAACTCGGGATGGGACAAAAGGATGTTTCATTTTTGATACTCCAAAGTTTGTTTATATTATGAAAGTTTTTTTTTTTTTTTGGGGAGGTAGTGGACGAAAAAATTACACAATTCTGCTAAATTTCTTTCCTGAAAATGAAAGTTCTTAAGTTTTTTGCAGAATTTAGAGATCCCACAGATGAAGTATCGAGATAAGAACTCTTTTTTGATAATGAATTTTTTTTTTTGCTTAAGCATATGCGTACTTGTTTATGAAGTGTTTTTTGATATCTGGATCTGTGTTCCTTTACATATTCTGTGTCAGTTGTACATTCTATCGTGTGTATGTATGTGTGTATGTATGTGTGTATGTATGTGTGTATGTATATGTGTATGTATGTATATACATATATATATATCAATATATCAATATATCAATATATCAAGTCAATGTTTGTGATTAAATGCACACAATATATGTCACACTATATGAACACACCCTGAGATACTAGCATAATTTGCATTCGTCAAATGGTGTATCCCTCCGAAAAATGAAGCCAATAACTTTTATGCAACCCCTCTCAGAAACAAATTATCAAAAAAAAAAGAAAAAAAAAAAAAAAAAAAAAAAAAAAAAAAAAAAAAAAAAAAAAAAAAAAAAAAAAAAAAAAAAAAAAAAAAAAAAAAAAAAAAAAAAAAAAAAAAAAAAAAAAAAAAAAAAAAAAAAAAAAAAAAAAAAAAAAAAAAAAAAAAAAAAAAAGAGGGGGAAAAAAAAAGAAAAAAAAAAAAAAAAAAAAAAAAAAAAAAAAAAAAAAAGGAAAAAAAAAAAGGAAGAAAAAAAAGGAAAAAAAAAAAAAAAAAAAAAAAAATGCTTGTTTTCTCGTTTTGGTAAATTTTACGCAAAATTCAAGAAAGCGGGGGAAATAAAAAAAAAAAAAAATAAAAAAGGGGTGATCAAAAGGATGTACATAATAATAATGGGTATACTGTTTTAGGCATACACGTTTAAGAAGTGCATTTTAGAAAGTTCAGCTTAGGAAGTACAGCTAGGAAAATGCAGGTTTAGAAATAGTTATATTGGAACACTAGTTTAGAAATGTACTTTTTTCCGTGCCATGTAATGTGTTAATAAAGATCCTTCCCACGTGGGGTTAGGACATGTAGCCTCACAAAATTGCTATTCTGTTTTAATAAAATAAAATAAATAAATAAATAAATAAATAGATAAATAAAAAAACGTTGAAATGTTTTTCCCCCTATTTTTTTTGAAAGGAGAGAAGAAAAAAAAAAAAAAAAAAAAGTTTTAGATTCACACTTATCTTTTTTCTTTCCCTACTTTTTTGGTTCCCATTTTTGGTTCTCTTTTTCGGTTCTTCATTATTCATTTTTTTTCTGTGGATTTTTATATTATAGTTTTCTTTTTTGGCATCATCCTAAAAGAATGTCGTGTGATTGTTCTATTCATGAATCATAAGGTGCGCCTCACCAAGGTGGTGTAAAAAAGTGATACAAAGAAATGATTATGAAGATTTGGCAAAAAAAAAAAAAAAAAAAAAAAATCGAATTGAGTGAAATGAGAAGTAAAAAAGGGTACAATATAAGAAATAAAAAAAAAAAATAAATGTGCACACTGAAAGATTGTTCTATGAGTTCACTTACACGATTATGCAAATTTTTGATGGGGTACTTTCTGTCAGCAGATAACGCAGCGAATGAGCATTCTACATTTTAAAGGTTTTACGTAACGCGTAAAAAGAGAGTAATTGGGGGTGTGCGAAAAACAGAGTTCATTTTTATTTATCTGCAGATTGATCTATTTGTTCATTCGTTTGTTCATTCGTTTGTTCATTCGTTTGTTCATTCGTTTGTTCATTCGTTTGTTCACTCGTTTGTTTATTTATTCGTTCATTCGTTTATTTGTTTGTTTATTTATTTATATTTTTTTTTTTTTTTCTATTTTTTCTTTGTGTGTGCATATAATTAAAGGCTTTTTTTGAATATGCTTCCCTCTACACATACGTGTACATTTTTTTTTTTTCATCTTAAAAATACAAAGAATTTTTGCTTTGATTTTTAATCATTTCAGACATGTATTTGCATGTACGTATGCGCATGTCCTTGGGAATACACCTCAATCGATTGTTTCTTTAGACCACCTCAAGGCGGAGGAGGCGGTAGATTGTGGAGATCCGTTTAATGGGAAGGTTTAACCAGAGTTAAAAAAAAAAAGCAGAAACGCAGAAAAGTAGAAACGCAGAAAAGTAGAAACGCAGAAAAGTAGAAAAGCAGAAAAAACAAAAATCAGTGAATGCTTAACTCAAGGTAACTCGGAAAAAAAAAGATATTGTTGTTTCAAAGATACACTGTTGCAATGATATACAAAAAATAATTGGGCAAAAAGAAATAAAATAAAACAGTGAATACCACATTCTGTCTGAAAAATCTAGCATATGTGTTTTGAGCTAATTTTGTGATTAACTCGTGAAGACGAATCGTTATTTGCTTCAAAGGGGTTGAAGCCGCTTAACACATTTTGAGGAGCGACGAATGAGGGTGGAAAAGAGAAGAAAATAGAAAGCACAAAAAAAGAGAAGAAAATAGAAAACAGAAAAAAAGAGAAGAAGAAATTGCTTCTCCAAAATATATCCACTTAATGAATGCCTTTATTTCACATCCTTTTGATCCATTTTTTTTTTATGACCAATGAACATTTCTTGCAAGAAATGGTTCCACAAAAACATCTTGGCGTGACACAATACTAGCACAACAGCGTATATATGTGCACGTATATATATGTACCTGTATATGCATTTACATACATATATATATATATTTATATTTATATATACAGTTATATAGCAGAAGAGCAGAGCCTGTCAAAGCAAGGGCGGAGCATTAATTTAAACGCTTCGTGAGGAATGCACATACATGGTTACAGGATATTCTTTCCATGAAGACACATGATGAAGGAAAATGTGAAGAAAGAAACTTATCCAGAAGAAGAAAACAAGAATGATCGGAGGGAAACGAACTTGAAAAATTTCGAAAAAACCTTGTAATGCTTGCATGCCGAAAAGGATTACATTCAATATTTTTTTCATTTCTACTAGCTTTGTCATCTCTACGATTTTTTTCATCTCTACGAGTTTCTTCATCTCTATGAGTTATGTCCTGTCAGTCCTGCTAAATATGTTTCATGAAGTTGTTTACGGGAGGACAGTTGTCGTGCACTGCTTTTTTTTTTTTTGAATGAAAATTTCCAGGCGATTTAAAGTTCGCTAGAGGAACCCCTTCACATGTTCATCGTGATGACAAAGTGAAGAAAAAAAAATAAGTTTTAGCAGTTATGTGTTTATATCTCATACAACCCTGTTCTGTCCAATAGACGCAAATGCAAAAAAAAAAAAAAAAAAAAAAAAAAAAAAAATAATATTTTTATTTAGATCATTGTGTCAGTTCTGTCCTTATTGTCATTTCCTTTTTCACATCCACTTTACAGCATTGACGATTGGCAGAAAGCCCTGAAGAGAGTGGAAGAAGGAAGGAGGTGCTTTGAACATGTAAGCACCATATTTTTGGAGATTATTCGTATTGAAAAAGAATATGAGCATAACTTAAGAAACTTATGTAACTCATTTAAAGAATTTAATGATGAATCATCAGGTATTAAGAGCGGAATGATAAGTTTAAAAAGAAACCTTGAAAGGAGATGTGAACAGATAACAGATTTTATTAATTATGTTGAATGTGAGATATTAAATAATACGTTAAATACAACTTTAATAAATCATAAAAATGTGTATGATCAAATAAAAATTGATGGGATGGAGAATGATAAAATGGTAGAAAAGGCGAAAAGGGAAACTGTAAAATATGTGAAAAATTGTATAAATGCTTATGAAAATTTAATAGAATCTATTCATGTTTTTCATAACAGTACTTATTATCATCCACTAAAGAGAATTCAACTTTCCAATACATGTATAGATCAATATTTACTAGCGAAAAAAAGGGAATATGAATATAGGAACACCATAAATAATGTTAATCAAGTCGAATTAAAAAAGGAAAAAAAAATGAAAAGTATTTTGTATTCCTTAGAATCAATGGATTATAAAAGAATTTCATGTATAAAGGATAATTGCATGAAATATCTAATTTTTTTTACTTCATATATAAGAAATGTTCAGTATGATCTCAACAGTTGTATAAATGTTTTCAAGGACGTGGATCCAATTCGGGAGATTGAGGAATACTGCACATTGTATGGGTGTGATCGTGGTGGTGAAGATGGCACTACTACCGATGTGGCCACTACTGCTGGTGTTGGTACTACTACCGATGTGGGTACTACTACTAGTGTTGGTACTTCTACCAATGCAGGTACTACTGCTGTTGTTGGTAGTAAGAATCTTTCAAGAAAGAGACAAAGTGGGGAATTTTTATTTTACAATAATATTGTATCTTGGCCAATGCTAATAGATTATCAAAATGAATTCAATTTCGTTGGAAACAGATATCCACAGAATAGTAAATTAGATTATTCTGTGAACCATGATTATGTGAATAGCTCTAAGAGTAAATATAGCAATTTAATTTCTTCCCTTTTTAATGTTAACGTGTACAGAAATTTAATTCAAAATGAGGATAGTGACAGAAGGTTCAAGGATCATGGGGAGAAAAAAAAAAGCGTTAATAATGTATATACAAACATATTTAATGAAATTGTTTTTTTTAAAACCAAGGACGAAGAAGAAAAGGAATCAAGTCATGAGGACATGAGTCACGAGGAGGAAGCTTCTGATGAGGGATCTGTCAAAGGTGGAGAGAATAATGATGAATCGTCCAATCATAATTACATATCTAACTATGATAAGGAAACATTTCCCACGCGGAAGGAAGGCAATGACAAGGGAGATGAAATTTATGAATGTTCAGAAAAAGGGAAACATGACAGAGGAGATGAAATTTATGAATGTTCAGAAAAAGGGAAACATGACAAAGGAGATGAAATTTATGAATGTTCAGAAAAAGGGAAACATAACAAAGGAGATGAAATTTATGAATGTTCAGAAAAAGGGAAACATAACAAAGGAGATGCAATTTCAAGTGTGACGATGGGGATAACACTAGATAAAGTTGATCCAAGTGAGAATAGAGTGGTAGGGAATGGAAATGCAATGAATCCGAGTAAACGTGAGGAGGGTGTTGAGTCATATGCTGATGCTGAGGGGACAGACACAGGGGATTTGGTTAGAAGTAATATTGATGATATGAATAATAAAAACGATGATAATATGAGTCAAGCAGAAGAGGTTAGGAGTCCTGGGGAGTGTATGGAATGTGTTAATAAAATCATCAATAAACATGGTGATAAACGAAATAATGCTCCTTACGAAGGAGGTATGAATGCACCGGTTGAAAGAGGTAACAGTGTGCAACGAAATTCCGATTTGAGTTACACGTACATAAGAGACATGCTCGAAAAAGAGGAGGACACCGAAAAGGAGGATGAGTCAGACAGCATGAGTAGTGAAATGAACTGTTCTAATAGATTTAAAAAGATGGAAATTTTTTTTCAATTTTATTTAAAAAATTTATTTCATGGTAATTTTGCTAAAATAGAAGAATTTAACATCACATCATATTTTAATGTGTACAATTATAGGCTTATATTTTGTGAGTGTTTATTGTATTATATTAAGAAGGGGAAAACATATTTTAAAAATATGAATGCCATGATTATATTTGCAAAAATTATTTTATCTTTTTTAGATTACTGTAGTTTATACTTTGATTATTGGTCTTCCATATATATTTTAGTTGCATCAGAAAATTTTTATTTTGAAGTGCAGGAAAATTATCATCTGAATGTAAAGCGGTTGCTAGATGAGTGCCACTTTTGGGAGAAATATGAAAACAAAATTTCATCTAGAACTGGAGAATCCCAAGTACGGTATAAAAAAATGAGTCCTGACAATGTACAGGGAAAGATAAAATCCACTTCTCGAGAGAGTGATTTTCTCTCGTTGGACGTGAATGAAAATGTGAATGAAAATGTGAATGAAAATGTGAATGAGTATGTGAATGAGTATGCGAATGAGTATGTGAATGAGTTTGCGAATGAGTATGCAAATGAGAATGTGAAATGCGTCTCTTCCAAGGGGAAGAGCGTACATGTACTATCAAAAGCAAATAATACACTTGTGGAAGGGAAGAGGAGTGTTGTAAATATATACGAGAATAGAGAAGAAGGAGAAAAGGAAGTTGTCGCCACTGAGAAGGATGGTCATGAGGATATTTCCAATGTTGAATCCTCCATACGTGCTGAAACAAGAAAAGAGGATCAAAGACATGAAATATACGAAACAAACTCTTTAAGTATACTGAGAGAAAACTCCACAAATAAGGATTCCATTGAGGATACAGAAAGAAATAATCAGATGATGGAAGACCATCACACTTTTGAAGCGAACATAGAAGAGTGCAAGAAGAGTACAGAAGCGGATACATCATCTATCAGTAAAGGCAGAAGCAAGATCGAATGCAAGGGCAATTGTGAGGATAATCCACAGATGAAGAAAATTTATTTGCACAAATTTTTGTATGCCCATAACTTATGGAATAACATAAAGTTCTGGGAAGTGAGTCTCTTAGTGATTATATCAGAAATAATTCAAGAAAATGTTTTAATGGAAAAACTAAAATATGAAAATAAAGAATCATTAATTAAAAAATATTTTTTTTTTTTCAAATATTTTAATTTATACAATAGTATGATTGATTTTGGCTTGTCAATTAATCAAATAGGTTTGCTACTGAACAAAATATTTCACAATTTTAACTTGAAAAACGACCCCATTTCTCGCAAATATTTTTTTCAAGTTATTGACATAGCTACGAATAAAAACATTACTTTAAATTATATCAAAACAGATGCAAGTAATTTAAACACCGAATATAAGAAGTATTACCTGCAGTATTATAACAACTTTTTGAATGATGACAATAGAGACGGTGGGGGGAAAAAAAAGTGACGTTTACAGGGGGGAAGGGGGTCAATCTTCCAGCACAGCTGATATGTATGTATTATATATATATATATATGTGTGTGTGTTGCCAATTGGGTAGCTCCAGTTGAAGAAGAGAATGCACATGTGTAGCTTTTCATTGCAGTTAAAACATAAATATTCTTTTTTTTTTCGCAAAAAAAATGTTACATATTTTGTTAGCAATTATTCACACCTTTTAGGGGATTGTTATGCCTTTTGTAAAAATATTTTTCTCCCTCGTCCTTTTGCTGTTCACATTTATGTCTTTGTTTTGCATCCGTCTGTATGAGTAACAAAATCTTTATCTTTGCATTTTTTTTTTTCACATAAAAATGGAGGAAAAATGAATTGAGATTAATATTTTCCGTTTATCAGAAAAAGTAAATATTTTTTTTTTTTTTTTTTTTTTACAACAAATAATTAATGATTATTTTGTGCTACAACGGAACAGTACACAAAACCATTTTATAATAACATTTGTAGGAGCCACTTGAGTGTATTACATTATCTTATTTTATTTTACTTTTACTAGTTACCTCTTTCACTGTTGTAATTTTTTTTTTTGTGTGTGCACAAACATGAGAAAAATATAACGAGAGCTATTTTTGCAAATTCTGTGTAAGAGGAATTCCCTTCGTTTTTGGATTTTTATAAGGATTGATTTTATTGTGTTCAAGGAAAAATGTAGAAAATAAAATAACACAATGTAGTTTTTTTTTTTTTTTGTGTTAACCCCTCCTCTCCCTTTCTACATGAGAATTAAAGCGTTTAGATGAATTAAAAAATAGAAGAGGTCACTACTTTATGTAAAAATTTGACGTTATGACTTTTCACAGTTTGAACATTTTGTTCAGTGAAAATGCAGACCGAGTAGCATAGTTTAAGGTTTGTACAGAATTCGTGAAGGGGGAAGTTGAATAATCGAGATGATAAAACTTCACGTATTCGTGAAAATAGGAAAAATTGTAGAAATACAAAATGTGTCATAAAAGGGAAAAAAAAAAATAAATCTACTTTTACACCACGTGTGTTACCTTTTTAATAATAATGCGATATACTTAACTTTAATTATGTATTTGTCATATGCATGTTCATGTCCTACTTGTGTGTACATTTGGCATTTTCACGAACATTGCAAATTATTGAAAAATTATAATTTAGATTAAATTATTTACGTATATATTAATTTTTAGAACACAAGTTTAATTATTTAAGTCTTTTACTTAAATGATTAACGTACTGTTTCTTTCCCCAAAGCTACATTCTTTGGAGAAATTATTTTTGTGTTTTGCAATTTTGTGGTATACCTTGAGTGAAAAGGATTGTTGTTTTTTAATTTTTGGAACACTTTTTTTCCTCTACGAAAAAATTGTAAGCCATGGGAGAAGAGCAATAAAAACACACATTATTCACTATTTATTTTATTTAAACGCAGTAAATAGTTGATCCTTGTATACACAGCCTCTTTCTTTTCCTAAAAAGGACTTGGTGAAAATAAGAGGGGGATAAAATTTTACTATGCCTACAGTTTATTTGCAAAATAGTGTAACGTGTATGTCACTATTTTTGATGAAGGGAAAAATATATATATATATATATATATATATATATTCATGTATGAATTTTTCTTCACACGAATTCATTAAAGATAGTGAAACCAAAAGGTGGTGAGAATGAAAAATGTGTATATTATGCAGTATACATAATTACGCATTTGTATGTAATTACATTCTGCTGATATTTGTGTAATATTGTTACATTTTTTTATTGCATACCCTTTTGACACATGTTGTTAAGGCTTCACATGAAAAAAAAAAAAAATACTATTCGCGTCAAATCACCTGACCATGCATACATAAAACGAACAATATATAATATTTCGTACATGCAATTCATGCGACATAATGTATTATTCACATTTATGAATCATTTTGTAGTTCGTTCTGGTTGTATGAATGTGCTTATACATGTGGTACATAAACATGTAAATATGGATTTTTCTCTTAATCCATTTGTTTAAATACCTATTGTGACAACACTTTATAATGTAGTTTTCCTATTACTTAATACATGAAACAGTGGCAGAGAGAGTCTGCATTAATTTCACAATCTCACAAGCTTTGTTATGATATATATATATATATATGTACATACATGTGTATTGTATTCCTGTGCACATACACCTTGCAACAATCCGTTGTATGTTTTATGGAGTTGCATCCTGCATTAAAGTGTAGAAAAATTTGCTTGTAAAAATGCTATGAGTTCAATAAATGTTGCAAAAGTTCATTTCTACCATTTTTAAGATTATTTAAGATAATTTGTGACTATTGAATTTCTTTCATTTGTGTTTTTAAAAAAAATTATACATACTGATGTATTAATTTTTTTTTTTTTTTTTTTTTTTTTTTTTACGGCGATAGCCCTTTATACTTTTTTTTTTTTTTTTTTTTTTTTTTTTTTTTTTTTTTTTTTTTTTTTTTTTTTTTTTTTTTTTTTTTTTTTTTTTTTTTTTTTTTTTTTTCTAATTATATGTGAAGGGGAAAAAAAGAAGTGGTTGTTTAAGAGTATAGTTATTGTTAAGGTAAAAAAAAAAAAAGATAGTGAAAAAATTATTTGTATATATATGACTATTTTTGTATATATATTTATTTATGCATTTCTTTATACGTTTGTTTATACATATATAATGTGGAAAAAGCGGAAATTTTTTCAGCCTTTCATTTAAGAGAAAAAATAAATAAAGTCAAGATTAACCAAATTTAGTGAAATTATTCAAGGTTAAAAAAATTAATAAAAAAAATAAAAAAATAAAAATAAAATAAATAAATGAGAATTAAATTAAAGTGAAAAAATGAAAAATAAAGGAAAATAAATGAAAATGTGAATGAACGATACAAAAATATACATATATGTATATATATATATATTTACGTATATATGAATAAACGTACATGCTAGATATGAATACTTATTGTTATGCAAGCTTCATTGCGAACGTACGCATGTTATGATGTGCTCCTTGTGTATGCACATTAAGGGAAATACACATGCCATCCATACTTGCATCGCCTGCCTATTTTTTTAGCATTATAACTGTGCTTGAATATTTTTCACTTGATTTAATGCGTGTTCTTTGTCATAACAAATTACAATGTGTAAATTGCGTCCTTTTGCCTCTTTGTTTTGAATTTTTTCTTTTTTCTTTTTTGTTTCACAATTTCTCTTTACCTTTTTTGTTTCACATTTTTTCTTTGCCTTTTTTGTTTCACATTTTTTCCTTGCCTTTTTTGTTTCACATTTTTTCCTTGCCTTTTTTGTTTCACATTTTTTCCTTGCCTTTTTTGTTTTACAATTTTTTTTTTTTTTTTTTTTTTTTTTTTTTTTTTGCCTTGCGTGCCTTTCTACCTTGCATTTTTGACGTGCCAATTTGTGGGCATTTTCCATCTTTCTAGTTCTCGCTACCCATCCCTCATGATTCATCAGATTTATTTTCATTTTTCTTTTAAGAAAATTTACCACCTTTAAAAATACAAATACGAAGACAGAAAATTGTGGAAAGAGGTACAGGATTGTCAACTTTTTGCTTGCAACATGGTATAGTGTGTCCATGCTTATGTCATTGCACGTATATATAAGGAATATAGGCATGTATATGTGGATAAATATGTACACGCCTGTATGCACACATTCATGCGTATGCATAATTATGCAAAAAGCAGAATATTTTTAAATATACATCAGGATTAGAAGTAATAAGCATATACGCAATAAGTGAGAAAAAAAAAAAAAAAAAAAAAAAAAACCAATAAAAGAATTTGCAAAAACGAAACAATAAAAATAAAACAAGAAAAGGGCTAATTGGATGTAACAAATTATACAACTCTCCCCTTTTTTGTGAATTCAAAGGGGAGACAAGAGAAGAAATTTGGAGAATTGATAAAGTTTATATAGCGTCATTCTTATTTATTCATTTTGAAAAAAGAGAACTATTTCCTTATACCAATATATACGCTTTTGTGTTCATGTGTTGCACCCAAAAATATCAGAAGGAATGCACCACGCAACTGTATTAACACGGGTCAGCAGAAAAAAGAAAAACGTTTGATTAATTAATTTGTTAATAAAGTGTATCGTGTTATATTGTTTGTGAATAATTTGTGGGCTTAATTTGTGTATATAACTGAGTTTATAAATTGCGTCCATTCGTTTTTTTTTCATTTTTTCATTTTTTCTTTTTTTTTTTTTTTTTTTTTGTATACAAGCACGAGATAGTGTTCACGAAAATTCAGAAGACATCATTGTCAGTGTTACCTTTTTTTGTTACGTAAAATTTAACCGGAAGGGGAAAATTCATCTAACGCGTGTGCTGTGTATGTATGCATTTGTTTATATGCATTACATGTGTATATGTATGTGTGTAAAACCTTGCATGTGTATTTACACATAAGTGTTTGCAGAGTATGTACCTGTCTCATGTACAGACCAGCCTTAGGTCCATTTGCACGCACACACACATGTATATCCATATATATACATAGGAAGCATACGAGCGCAAATCCCAATTTGTGGGAAGATAATCAAAAAGAACACATAGACTATACATTTCAAAATGTTCAGAAATGTACGTGATTACTTCAAGAGTACCAATGAAAAAAACGAAAACGAAGATAAAGCAACAGTTATTGAAAACATTAACAATTGTAACGACAGTAACGAAAGTAGCAAGAGGAATGGAAATGGGATGAATGACCAAATTGATGAAAGAGGAGTAGGAGGAACCCCGTGCGATGTGACAAACAATGAAAATTATTTAAATGAAGCATCTTACAAAAATATAAGTGATATTTGTAAAGAAGAAATGAATATAGAGAATAGTTTAAAAAAAAAATATGAAAGTTATAACGACTTGGATGATGCTAGAAAAAGATTTATTATGAGTGACGAAGAAAGTGGACGGAACAAGGATCCCCCTAGTAATGGAGATACGAACAAAACTAGCGAATCCTTTGTGAATAATTGTGAAAACGGAGTTAGTTCCGTTATCAGTGACGTTGTTGAAGAGTCCAACATGGACTCGGAGAGTAGAGGTGTCGAAGTGGGAAGTAAAAATGGAAGTAGTCATGGTAGTAAAGATGGAAGCAAAGATGGAAGCAAAGATGAAAGTAAATATGGAGGTGACCCTCGGAGCGAATTTGAAAACGAGGAAGACACTTTTGTACCAAATGATAACAGCATGAGGGTTAAGCACAAATTGGACCCAAGTGTTGAATCTCTTAAAAGGAGGAAATTAAGCGAAAATGGTATAATGGAACAAGAGGAGGAAAATAAAGAGAATGAAGATGAAGAAATTGTTGGTGAAACAGAAGAAATGGACGAATCCCAGATGAATAATGATGTGAAATCGAACGAAGGAGATACTGATGCAGAAAAGGAAGAAGCTAAGGAGGAGGATGGGGAGAAGAAGAAGAATAATAATAATCAGGAAAATACCCATGAACAGAGTGAAGAAAAGATGAATTATTTACAAGATAAACTGGAACTTCTTTTATCTGAGACGAAACGATACACGGAAAAGCTTTCAGGGCAACGATTAAAAATGAACATGCAATCGAAGGTCAACAAAACGAGACGTTGTGCATTGACTGAAAAAGAGGAAGATTATATGCTATTGCAAGATGCAAATGAGGAGGATGAACCATTTATTATAAAACAGCCAACTAACATTAATGGGTGCATGAAACCGTATCAGATAGAAGGGTTAAATTGGTTATATCAATTATATAGACACAGAATTAATGGTATTTTAGCAGATGAAATGGGACTTGGTAAAACATTGCAAACAATTAGTTTGTTATGTTATTTACGATTCAATAAGAATATAAAGAGAAAAAGTATTATCATATGTCCAAGATCCACATTGGACAACTGGTATCAAGAAATAAAAAAGTGGTGCACTGAAATGAAGGCTTTTAAATATTATGGAAGTAAGGAACAAAGGAGAGAATTAAATAAAAAAGTATTACACACAGATTATGATATATTATTAACAACGTACGAAATAGTTATTAAGGATAAAAATGCCTTGTTTGATATTGATTGGTTTTTCCTGGTTATAGATGAAGCACATCGAATAAAAAATGATAAAAGTGTGTTAAGTACATCGGTTCGTTTTTTAAGATCAGAGAACAGATTATTAATCACAGGTACACCATTACATAACAATTTAAAAGAATTATGGTCCTTGTTGAATTTTTTAATGCCAAAAATATTTGACAATTCAGAAGAATTTGATAATTTGTTTAACATCTCAAAAATTAGCACAAATGATAATAAGCAGAGTGAAATAATTACCCAATTGCACACAATTTTGAAACCATTTATGTTAAGAAGATTAAAAGTTGAAGTAGAGCAATCGTTACCTCCCAAAAGAGAAATTTACGTTTTCGTTGGCATGTCAAAATTGCAGAAAAAGTTATATTCAGATATACTTAGTAAGAATATAGATGTAATTAATGCCATGACAGGAAGTAAGAATCAAATGCTTAATATACTGATGCAGCTGAGGAAATGTTGTAATCATCCATACCTATTTGATGGTATAGAAGAACCACCATATATTGAAGGAAATCATTTAATTGAAACATCAGGAAAAATGTCCCTTTTAGATAAACTTTTACCAAGATTGAAAAAAGAAAATTCTCGTGTATTGTTATTTTCACAAATGACAAGAGTGTTGGATATTATAGATGATTATTGTAGATGGAAAAATTATGAATATTTACGGATTGATGGTTCAACTGTGGGTGACGAAAGACAAATAAGAATTAACCAATTCAATGAACCAAATAGTAAATATTTTATTTTTTTACTATCAACAAGAGCAGGAGGAATAGGTATCAACTTAACAACTGCTGATATTGTTATTTTATTCGATTCAGATTATAATCCACAAATGGATATCCAAGCAATGGATAGAGCACATCGTATAGGGCAGAAAAAAAGAGTTATTGTGTACAGATTTGTGACGCAAAATTCGGTAGAAGAGAAAATTGTTGAAAGAGCAGCAAAGAAGCTGAAGTTAGATTCACTTATTATTCAAAAAGGGAAATTAAATTTAAACAATAAAGAAAATAATAAACAAGAATTACATGACATTTTAAATTTTGGAGCACCAGAAGTATATAAAACGCAAGACATTTCTTCCATTTCGGATGAAGATATTGATATCATTCTTGCGAATGCTGAAAAGAGAACAATGGAAATTGAAAACAAATTGAAAAATTTAGAAAATATATTTGATCTATCGAATATATCCCTGGATGGAGGATTGAATATGTACAATAATTTGACAAAGAATGATTCTGGAGAATCAAGTGATGAAGAATATTCTGATTCTGCAGATGAGGAAGAAGAAGAAGAAGAAGAGGAAGAAGAGGAAGGAGGAGAAGGTGGTGGTGCTGCTCATGGTTCATTAGGAGGTAACGTTCTTGAAGGGGAGGGGACAACATCAGTAGGAGGAGTAGTAGATGGAGGAGGAGGGAAGAAGAAAAAGAAGAAGAAAAAAAAAAATATTAACAAAATAAGGAGAACAATAAAAAATTTTTTAAAAAATAATAAAAAGAACATGACTTTCCTGGATTTAGGAGAAAGAAAAAGTAAATGGAAAGTTATGAATTCTACATGTAACAAAATCAATAAGAAAAAAATGGTACTTCATGGATGGAGAGCAGAAGCTAGAGGAGGACATGACTTTCAATTTTTTAATAATGAAAAATTAGATGAATTAGAAAAATTAGAAGAAAAGTGGAATAAATATCGCGTTTGTCAAGATAAAATTAGGAAAATTATAGATGCACAAAGTGATCAAAAAGATTTTGAAAAATATATTAATTTTTCAGATTTTCTAGACAGACATGGAAAGAATGTTTATGAAATTATTAATCTGATATATCCAAATATTTTTGATGAAAAAATGAATGAAGCTGATAAGGAAGGTAGAGACGGGGGGGAGGAGGGAGGGATTGGTGTTGTTGTTTGTGGTGGTGGTGGTGGTAGTAGTAGTAATCACAATAAGAGCTTTGCAGAAGATGGAAATATCAAAAGTCAGGATGATAAAAGCAAGGCGGCTAGTTCTAAAAGTGGAAATGGTATTATTGTTAAAGGAAGTGTCAATGGAAGTAATGATGAGGTTCAACAGATTAAGAGGAAAATTATACAACTTTTTGAATCCAAAAACAAATTAAGTATGGTTAGGTTTAGGGATAAGAATGTGAAGGTGTGTTATGAATATTTGACAAATTTTATTAAGAGGCACTTGGGGGATAACAATAACGAAAGTAACAATAACAAAAAGGGGAAAAACAACAAGCCGATTAGAAAGAGTATCGATCATGATATGGCTAGTATAGATATTGATCAAATTAAAAATGAAAAGGAAGAACTTCTGAAACAGGGGTTCTCTAAGTGGAACAAAGCAGAATTTAATAAACTCATGAGCGGCTTGATAATTTATGGCAGTGAAGATATTGAATTCATTTATCAGAAATATTTCAGCAACTCGAAAAAGTCAATGGAGGATATAAAAGCTTACCTGCGAGTCTTTTTTAGAAGATACGATCGGGTGAAGGGGGTAAGTAGTTTAAGCTGGAGGTGTCCGTTTGAGAGGGGCCCACCCACTTTGAGAAAAACCTTGGGAGAAAAAAAATTTTTTTTTTTTTTTTTTTTTTCTTTGCCTCATCGGGAGGTATTTCGCTATACAATGATTGTCCCCCTCCCCCTAGATGCCCTTATGATATTCCATCATTTCTGTGTCTTGCATCGTAGGTAACTTAAATTATTTACATTTTTCCTATTTCTTTCATAGGGTATAAGACTATTCGACAAAATACAAAAGTCCGATTTGCAGAGACAGATGATACAGGAGGAAAATGATCTTATTGCAAATTTTGTAATTTAAATTTTTTTTTATGAATATAACAACATGAGCATGCATGTTTGTACACAATGAATTTAGTTATCTGCATGCACAATTTTACACATGTAGGAATGTGTAATGTATTCCCCTTAGTTTTTTTTTTTAATCCGTTAACACATTATCCCTGAAACGAATTTTATCTCTTCCTGACAGGTTGAAAAGCAGTTATCTGATGGAGTTGATACTATTGACAAACTACAGCTTCCTCCTAATTTGTGCTATGAATATTTACAAAAAAAAGAAGAATTGCCAAACACTACCGGTGAGGTTAAGGAAGAAAAGGAAATTAAGGATGCTTTGAATGAAGAAGAAATTTCATATTATGAAAAAGAAAATAAAATATTACTTTGGTTATTGTACCAGCAGGGGGTAGTTCACACGAAGAGCATTCATATTTTGGTGAGTTTACATACCAGCTTGATGGGAAAAAAAAAAAAAAAAAAAAAAAATCTTAAGTGGTTCATCAGTTTTGCTTTTGTTACTCGAATTTGTAATATAAACAAATGGTACTTTTGTTCTTTACATGGATCAGAGGGGTGGGAGAGTGTATATCTTGTTTCCATTTTTAGTTCATATTTTCTCATTTTTGCGATTTATATTTTTTCTCTCATAAGTTACGGTGGAAAATCTCGTGCATGCATATTAGATATATATATATATAAACATACATGCATATATATGTATGCACTCGTCCCTCATGATAATTTAAATACACTGTATTATATATTTCTTTGCCCATTTTAGACGCCATATTATTGGGCCCAAGCGCATAATTTTTTTAAGTACGCAAGCACCCCGTTTGAAAACATTGAATATAGATGCAGACTAATCGTTGATGCTGTTGTCCAAATGAGCAGAACAGTAAGTGAACATTTACTTATTCTTGAGCATGTGTATTTAAGTCATCACCAGAGTGTGTTGTATGTGGATAATGCTATCAAAATGAATTTCTATTAAGAGGAAGAGATTCTACTTCTACCTCTTTATCTCATCGATTGTGCATGATGGGTGTTTTTCATATGCATATATATGAACCCCCACACATATATATATATATATATATATATATATATATGTACTTATATATAAGTACATATATGTAATTATGCTGGTACTTGCATCTTTGTTCCCGTTTTGTTTGACGTAATCCGAACGATGACAGTTTAACAAAATATACAAAATTTTCTCATTATCCATACACGAGTGATGATATGATGTGCACATCCTAAAAACTGTTTATACAACACTTTTTCCCATTGTCTAGGATTCAAAACCTCCCAGTAATAAAGAAAAGAAAAAATGACAATAGTGATATATTTTTTGCTCGAGCACGTGTTCTAGCATAATTTTTGAGGTTTAAATTGGTAGAAGTTTTTTCACTTGTGAATTTGAAAGCTGAAGTGTGTTGCGTTACGAGTATATGCATAAGCATAAGTTGAAGTATAAGTATAGCCATAAGTATAAGCACAAGTATAGCCATAAGTATAAGCATAAGTATAAGCACAAGTACAGGAATAAGTATAAGTATAAGCACAAGTATGCATTGTGGGAGATTTCACGTCTCCTTTAAAATTTTTTTTTTGCATAAACAGGAAACAAAAAAAAAAAAAAAAAAAAAATTACTATTTTGAATGTTCTTTTTTTATCTCGACAATTTGTAATGTACTAGGTTTTTTTTTTTTTTTTTGCCATTAACCCTTAATATTTATGTTACATTTTTTAACGTAATTATTCTATTTTATACAATTTTTTAAACAACTCTTTTTTTTTTTTTTTTTTTTTTTTGTTCCTTATGCCTTTATGAGATATGACAATAATGGCAAGCAACACATATTATACATATATTTTGTATATACTTTGTCGTAAGTATATGTAATTTTATATATATGCTATACTATATAGATTTATACATATATATTATATACATTACACGAACACGTACACGTACTCGTGAATCTCATTTGGTAACATATAATATGTATACATGTGTTAAATTGTATATAGAAACTTAGTGATTTTATACACATATGTGATGATGAATTGTAGGTTATATATATTTCCAACTTTTGTTCACATACCTTTTAAATTGTCAATTGATTTTTTTTTTTTTAATTTTTCTCAACATTTCTTAGAACTTATCATTTCTTATCATTTCTTAACATTTCTTATCATTTCTTATCATTTCTTACCACTTTTTATCATTTCTTACCACACCTTACCATTTTTTAGCACTTCTTAACACTTCTTAATTTTTTTTTTTTTTTTTTTTTGCGATGTTATAGCTTCTACTTAGTTTTTTGTTGTTCTAAGGTTTTGCGTTTTACAAATTTGTTATCATATGAAGGAACATGAAATAAAAAAAAAAAAAAAATTATAACAGAAATGTTAGAAATTGAAGGAAAAGAATTTTTTCTACAATCCCTTCGAGTTACAGTGCATTGTTAAATTGTGCATAAACACATTATATAAAGGCATAGTTTTTATGGCCTCACGTCGCTGAAAGACTCAGAATTTCCTTGTTGATATACAAATTTGAATATGAATGTATAGATGTGTATATAAGAAATTCAAGTTTATACAAAAATTTCGCCCTTTTTGACAAATATAGCTCGTTTTGTTGCTACTTCCGTTTCGTCCGTTTCTAATGTTTTGTGGCATCAACGCCACATCACTTCAGTGTTACATTGTTTCAGTACCTTACGAGATTTCACAATTTTTCCATCCTCAAGATTTCTTTAAAACATGTCATATTCAACAAAAAAGAAAGAAAATAAAAAGATAAATCAGAAGAATGCGAGTAGTTTTGAATTTAACTCGGACATTCAAAATGACATAGGTATTATAAAGTCCTACACCTTAAGGATCTTAAAAATAGTAAATGAAAAAGAGGAGTTTTTTTTTTTTTTTTTTTGTAACTATTATAAAATGGCCGTTTCCAAATTATTGAAATGAGCGAGAAAAAGACGAAATACAAAGATGTTCCCAATCATTTTGTGTACATATGACACGTTGAAGTATATATGTACTTTTCAACACATTGATGAACATTTTTTTTTTTTTTTTTCCTTTTTTTCTTGTTCCACTTTAGAATGAAAATGAAGTGTGTTCGGTTGAGAGCTCCGAAAAAGTGTAAGCACAATGAGGGGAGACCAAAATTAGGGAAAGAGAGAGATAGAGAGAGAGAGAAAGAGATGAAGGTCATTTCTGCGAATTTTCAAAATATGAATTCGTTGATATGGGGCTTCTGTCCACATTTGGCTCATAAATTTAGAAAAGCCTGATGAAACCATGTTAAAATTAAGAAGAAAAAGTGACACATTTTTTGTTAAATGTGAAAATTAGAGAATAAAGTAGCGTAAAAACTAGTATAAAGGTGCACGTAAAAAAGGAGCTCCATCCATGGTCCACTCCTACAGTTGTACATATTTTAAACTAAACAGTTTTGTACATATATATTCGTGTACTAAATTTGTAGACAAGGAATTGTGCAAGAGGGAAAAGTGAAAATCCAGGAAATACAGAGAAAGTTGAAGAATTATTCTAGTAATGTAGAAAATGCCCCACAAAGTGAAAGGGTATGCCTATCCGAATATAGCTCAGTGTGAACATTTCCTTTTTTGTCACTATACGTTTTCATGTGTGAAATTTATGTATACTTACTTTTATATGCACATATTTGAATATAAGAATGAGTATATATCCAGCACCATCCACTTTTCTGCATGCCAGGGGTGAAAAATTTAAGAGTACATAAAAGGCACAACAATTTTGAGTATCGAATATATATATATATATATATTTTCTTCGTGTGACATTTAAATAATGATTTTTTTTTTTTTTTTTTTTTTTTTTCTTCCTATTTAAATTGTATAGATAAGAGTGAAGCTTATGTTGCAGAAGTTATCGAACTCATATATAGAAGCGGTAAACAATTTTCAAAATGCATCTAAAAATTATATTAACAAAACAGTTTTAAGTGACATGTCATTAAAAAATGTGAACACATCTAATGGGAATTTGGGATATGATTCATTTAATAACTTTTCAAGAAATAGTGATTCAAATTATGATTCTAATAGAGACAAGTTTAATGTAAACATTTATGATTATAATTTTTATGAAAATGAAAATTATGAGGGAAGTTATGCCATTCCTACGGGAGGTTTGGAAAATGTAAAAGGGGAGAAAAAAAAAAAGAAATATAAAAATAATATTTTTACAGGAAATAAAAAAAGTGAAATTAATGAATACCTATTGCAGAATGATGGATATATGGAAAACGGTGGATATGAAGATAACAGAGATCTGGAGAATCCTGTGCAAAATGAAGAATTTATATCAGTAAAAACGGTAGATATTGAAAATGAAATATTGAATCAGAAAAATAAGGAAATAAAAAAATTACATAAAGATATAATTAATATACAAGAATTATACAAGGAATTATTTGATCAAATAAATGTTCAAGGAGAAAGCATTGACAACATAGATTCTCAAATAATGACGACCCATGATAATATTCTTTTGACCGGTCGAGAAATTGAAATAACTAGAAGTAGATATTTTAGGAGTATAAGGTGTACAGGATTCCTTATTTTTGTTTTAATAATTTTGTTAGTAATTATTTTGGTAGTCTTTAGGGTTATATGATTTGCTGGTCCCTGTATGTGTGTAGTGCAGCAAACGGTAAAAAAAAAAAAAAAAAAAAAAAAAAAAAAAAGAGTGATCACAGAAAAGTAGTGAACAAAGTTTTAATTTTGTCATTTTACATACATATGTTATTTCCTTGCACAAAAGGATTTTTTTTTTTCTTTTTTTATACACTCCCATCTATTATATACAGAATAAGTATTCCACATAAAAGCTGTGTGTTTGTTTAGTTGTTATAGAGTTATGGACACTTTTTTCATTTGGCTGTTTTTTTTTTTTTTTTTTTTTTTTTGCATGTAAAATTAGACCCACCTTTGTCAATAAAATGAATGATGAGTCTATTGATTTCCTTTTTCTTTGAATTTTATTGTACAGTTGTCGCACCATTGCTTGTAGTGGAACACATCTCACCATGTCTACCAACGGTGTTTTTATTTATATCTAATAATAAATACCCTTATATTCCTATCTTGCTTTATTTTTGCAAATTTTTTTTTTTTCACACATCTAGATGAACAAATTCATTCAGCTGTAAAAGGGACATATGGGTTACACTCACCCAATCCGTCTTGATTATTGAATTGTTTTGCTGATTTTTTTTTTTTTTTTCTTTTTTTTGGAATGCATTTCTTTGCATTTGTATTTCTACGTATTACTACTTTGTAGTGCTTTTTTGTAAGTTTGCAATTTCTGTTGAAATTGAATTTTTTTTTTTTTTTTTTTTGCCTGCTTCATAGTGATAAGATATAATATGCATAACTGCCAATAATATTCACTTTTTATTTTATTTTTTTAAGTTTTGTAAAAGATTTAATTGAAGTCTTGTTCGTGTAAAACGAATTTTTTTTTCTTTTTATTTAAATCAAACTTTCATTAGATAAAAAAAGGAGTAACACACATTATGAACGTAAGTAAAAAGAAGCTGAAAATTTTATCTTGAGACATGTGGTGAGACAAGCTTTGCATTTTCTCTGGCTTCTTTATGTATATTTGAAAGAAATGCAAACCTATTTGTGCAGTGGTTGTTCGTAAAGGTTGATTTGATTTCTCTGTAATGAAAAACATACATATATATATATATATATATATATATATATTGAACCTCTGCAGTAACTATAGCAATTGTCAAGAGTGATATGTAGGGCCGTGGAAGTGTGGTAGAAACTGGAGAATCTAATTTATTCTGGTGTTGAAATGTCCATAAACGTGTGTAATGTAATATGTACGACTATAAGAACAATGTACCTTCAAATGTGTATGCGAATGAACGAGATAATTGTGTTTTTTGCCTAAGCACAAAGTTTTCTCTTTTGTTAACATGACAAAAAAGCAAATTTAAAAAAAAAAAAAAAATTTTTTTATAGGAAGAAAAATGGTAGTTTTAAGAAAGAACATACAAGTTCTAAGGAAGTTGCTTTGGGTAAGAGAAAAATACACTGAGCAGCAATTGAAACAGATTGTTATACACTTGTATATATTTTTGTATGTTTGAGAGAAATTTGGTTATGCTGATTCATCACGAACGCACATACACCACGTCCGTACTATCTTTGCATCAAGGGATGAACAAAAAAGTTATTATTCAATTTGATTTGCATAAATTATGATGGAAAAAGGAAGAAAAAAAAGTGAGAAAAAAATAAGGAGTAAAAAACAAGGAAAAAAAAGTAAAATAAATGTAAAAAGGTAAAGATGAGAAAATGATCAAATCATAAATTCTAAATAACCTGCAAGAGAGAAAGTTGTGCAATGAGAAGCCTGCAAAGTTAGGATAGCGTAAACCGAAAAATAAGTAACAAATTCCAAATTTTGTTTATTGTTAATTTGTGCAGAACTGAAAGAAAAAAAAAAAAAAAAAAAAGGGAAGTGGAATTCTTTTTAAAATTTTTTAAATAATATATTATTACTTGCTTGAAGTTGAAGAAATATAAATCAAATATCCTCGAATTGGTTTATAAGGCATTTTTATACTCCTTTTCCCCGCATACTTAAAATATAGGCAAAACTGATAGCTTCATAAATGGCTACAAAATATATACAGGTGTATTAAAAACACCAGCACGAATGTCTCTATGTTTATATGACACGTACATGTACTTACATATATGTGTACACGCCCTTTCCTCTACATGTGCCAATTTTTTTTTTTTTTTTTTTTTTTTACCAATCCTGATAAAGGGAAGTTCCCTAAAAAGTAAAGAGTAGTTGGATGAGAAGTGGAGAAATTATTCTGATCTCATCGTTTCGGAGCATATTTTTGAAAGGCATTTTTTTTTTTTTTTTCAATTTGATGAAAGGGTGTTTATTTGTAGTGGGTAAAACGTACATGAGGAAAGGGCACTGAAAGGATATAAATAAATATATATATGTATATATATACATACATATATATATATATATACATGCATATATACATATCCATATACAGGCATGCATATGTATGTACAGACATTCGGCAGAAGGAAATTGAATTTTGTTCGAGGTGAAGACAGATCGAAATATCTGTTGTACAGCATATTCAGTTAATTTTGTAAATACATAAAAGTGAACAGTTAAAAAGGGAAGCGAACCTACCACTTTTCCAAGCTTGGGTGGAGGAATGGACGAGTAAATATATATGAACGTGCAGAGGGGAAGAGACATCAGTTCGTATGTATATATGACATGCTGGTAAAATATATATATTGTGTAGAAGGTTGTAAATATTTACGTTTCCAAGAGGAAATTGTCACTTCAAGCTTTTTTCCTTTTGAAGAGACAAAATGCCAACGATATCCGTGCACGAAGAAGATCTTATAGAAAAACTGGGAGAAAAAATCGAAGAAGAAAAACTGAACAACATTTGCTTCGAATTTGGAATAGAAATTGACGACGTGGAATATAAAAATGAGAAGAAGATTTATAAGATAGAAGTACCTGCTAACAGGTATGATCTCGTATGTGCAGAAGGATTATGCAGAGCGTTAAAAAATTTCATGGGAAAATATGAAAAGATAAAATATAATTTATTAACAAATAGTGAAGATGCATGTATGAAAGAAAATCATTATATGAATGTTAACAAATCGGTAGATGAAAGAAGAGGTTATGTTGTTTCATCTGTTTTGAAAAATATAAAAATTAATGAGAGTATTTATAATAATATAATTGAATTACAAGAAAAGTTACATCATAACTTGGGGAAGAGGAGAACTGTATTAGCTATTGGAATTCATGATTATGATAAAATAAAATTTCCTGTAGAATATAAATTTGAGGAAAAATCAAAAATAAATTTTATTCCCTTAAATGAAAGTGAAAATTTGAATGGAACTAATTTGATAAAATTTTATAAAGACAATATAAATTTAAAATCTTATTTAAAAATTATAAGCGATTTTGAAAAATATCCAATCATAGTAGATGCAGAGAATAAGATATTATCCCTTCCTCCAATTATAAACTGTGATCATACCAAAATTACGTATGGCACAACAAATTTATTTATTGAATGTACAGCCATTGATAAAAAGAAAGCTGAAATAGCTGTAAATATTATTTGTTCAATGTTATCAGAATACTGTACTCCAAAATATTCAATTCATTCTTTTCTTGTTTTATATGATAAAAATCATAATCTCGAAAATGGAAATAGGTATTTATATCCTATTTTTAAAAATAAGACCTTGACATGTAAGATTGATTATGTTAAGAAGTTATCAGGTATTTCAGATTTAACAGTAAAAGATGTTGGACCCTTGTTACAAAAAATGATGATAGAAACGAAAGTCATCGATAATACAACATTCATTGTGGATGTTCCTTTTTACAGATCAGATATAATGCACTGTTGTGATATTATTGAAGATATAGCTATTGCTTATGGGTATGGAAATATTAAAGCTGAAAATGTTGTGTTTTCAAAAAAAAATTCACTAAATGCATGCTCAGAATTGTTCAGAAATGCATTGGTTGAATGTGCTTATACTGAAGTTATGACAAATGCATTATTATCAAAAAGGGAAAATTACGAGTTTATGTTGAGGAAACACAAGGAATACAACGACGAGAAGATAAATGTAGAAGAGTATAATCCATTAGCACCACCTGTTCAAATACTAAATTCCAAAACATCAGAATATGAAATTGTAAGAACATCTCTAATTGTGAATTTGTTAAAATTTGTTTCAGCAAATAAGCATAGAGAGTTGCCATTACGTTTTTTTGAAATTGGAGATATTTCCTACACCACATGTAACAAAACTGATACCAATGCTGTGAATAAAAGGTACTTATCCATTATCTTTGCTGATAAGTTTACTGCTGGCATGGAGGAAGCACATGGTATGTTAGAAACAATTTTGAAGGAATTTCAGCTTTTTAGCGATTACAAAATTGAGGAAAAGAAAAAGGAAAACATATCCATAAGGTCTGACGTTTTTTACAAGTTGGTACAAAAGGAAGGTAAGGGGGAGAGAGAGTGACGGGGATCGATTAGCTTGCACACACGTGAAGTATGCGACACCATGGATGTGAAAAAGGAGTTGCTGTTAGTAGAATCACTCGTGGAGCTGCTATTAGTAGAAGCACTCGTAGAGCTGCTATTAGTAGAAGCACTCATAGAGCTGCTATTAGTAGAAGCACTCATAGAGCTCCTATTAAAAGTGTTAATCTTAAAAACATCATTTGTTATGCAATGTCTGTACATTTTTATACGCACAAGAGGTGCATATATGTGTACATTTGCTCATGCCATTAATTGTGGCATATGATCATATTTTGAATTTTTGCTGTAATTATTTTCTTTCATTCGTCAAAATTTTAAAAATACGCAGATCCTTCATACCTGAATGAGAGAGTAGTTGACATCGTTTTATTTCCACACAATTTAAAGTTTGGAATTTTGGGAATAATTCATCCCAAGGTTCTGGAAAATTTTTCCATCGACATTCCAGGTATAAATAAATTCGTTAAAGAGTTTTTAAGCGTTCTTTTTTTAGTTTCTCATGAATATGTATGAATGCACATTTGGGCGTCCTTTTATTTGCTGGCAAATTATGTGTTTTCCATGTTTCTTCAGTTTCTTCAGTTTCTTCAATTTTTTCAGTTTTTTCAGTTTTTTCGGTTTCTTCAGTTTCTTCAGTTTTTTGTGTTTCTTAAGTTTCTTCAGTTTTTTGTGTTTCTTAAGTTTCTTCAGTTTTTTGTGTTTCTTAAGTTTCCTGCGTTTCCTGCGTTTTTTTTATTATTATTAAGATGTATATTGCAGTGTGCACACATTTGGAATTTTTTCAAACGTCACTTCATTATTGCATACTCCATTTTTACAGTGTCTGTTGTAGAGATAAACATCGAGACCATAATGGACGTCCTGATGATCTGAAAAGTTATCGAGTAATATTTTCCAATTCCGTTAAATGGAAATAAAGAAAAAATGGATTTTAAAACATATTCAGTTATGTATATATTCCTTCAATTTTTCATCAAAATAGTTGAGAGCGAATAGGTATGGATTGTCCGGATTTTTTTGAACCAATTTTGCAATGAATTCCGAAACAATTTCTTCAAAGTAAGGGGGTACATTATACTTGTCCAGATTAAGCTTATCGATTTTCTTAAATTCAAACGTGTTTGTACTTTCCATCATGAAGTGGGGGAAAAAAATTTTGCTGAAAAAAAAAAAAAAAAAAAAAAAAAATACATACATGCATACGTATGTACAAATATACGTACATACATACAAACAAACAAAAAGGGAAGAAAAGAAAAAGAGAGAGAGATTGAAAGGTAGAAAGAGAAAATTAGAAGTATTAAATTAAATCATGTTTTATATGTTTATCTGTAAATATATATACCATTTGTGCATATACATGAATACTTACACTTTCATACACCTTGGGTAAATCACGTATGCTTAGGGATTCAACAAGACAAGAGAAATTTTACATGTGCATATTTCGTAGTTGTGAAAAAAAAAAAAAAAAAAAAAAAAAAAAAAAGACTAAAAGTTGTACCAGCATAAAATGACATTTTTTTTTTTTTTTTTTTTTTTTTTTTCATTGTCAAAAGTGAAGAAGTTTATGCTTTTTCAGAAGTAGAACTGAACACAATAAATATATGCATGTACTGTATATTGGTTTACGTGTGTATATGTATAAATGTTGTTGTGTTTTAAGGTGCTTTTATAGCTGTTATTCACAGTTAATATGAGCATCTATTGGGAGGGCAGAGAAAATTTTTTCACTTTTTATGCAAAATGTACACCTTGCACATTGTTCATTACAGAATGTGTATGAGTCCCATGGATGAATACGTAATTTGAGAAAATTTTTATTTTATTTTTTTTTTTTTATTCATAACACTTTGACGTTATTAACATTTATCAAAATTGAAAATTCCATTTTATAATTAGGAAGACAAAAATGATTATATATGTTGTAGTTTACTGTTTATTGGTAGGCTGTTTTAACTTTTTTTTGAAAACATGATTAAAAAGGGGGTGAGGGTAGGGACAAAACATGTGGAGAAAAATGGGAAGAAAAAAATCATGTTACTTTTTAAAAAGTAAAAACACATGCTTGAGGAGTAAACAAAAAATGAAGGAAAATTTATAGAAATAATCACATTATTCAGTAGTAGTATATATATATGTAACGCAATGGATGTATGACATTTATTCTTGTACTGCTTTATTTACTTGCTATGGAGGAGGAAATATTACGCATAAATATGTAATTACATTTTCGGGAATACATGTTAGAACTACATTTTGTATATACAGTAAGACAATACATGGTGTAAAAAAAAAAAAAAAAAATACGTACGCATGTTATATGGTACATATATATATATATATATATATATATATATATATATATTTTTTTTTCCCCCTTTCTTTTTTAATGGAAATAAGAAAATTACACTATAATAGTATATAACCGTATAATGGCACTTTTATTTATGGTAAAAGCATGCACCAGTTTTGCTTCGACATTATATGTGGGTCGTATACAAGGTTTTTGCATATTTACAAATGGTAATGTGTTTCTCTATGTGTGTTACTTGTCTATTCTTTTCTTCATAGACTAGTAATTTACTGGTTTTCATCATGGTTTGAATTATTGCTAACGGTTCTTCGATTGGAGTAATTGGTTAAATTAATTAAATTCTCCATATTGTGATTGGGTGAACTTACCCCCATGTTAGCTGTAATAAAGTTGCGGTTCGTATTGAATTTGGTATGAGATCTCCCATTTATATCTGCATTCATGCCTGTATTAATATTTCTAACAATGTTTACATTTCTCACATTTTCACTGGAGATAGTATTTCCATTTTGCGCATTCCTTTGCATTTCGCTAAAATTGTATTGACTATCGGTATCTAACATTTTATTATTTTTATCACTCAAATTGTGCACATTAGAGAGATAATAATTTTCATTATGCTTATTTCCTTCTACTATAGCATGAGATAGGATGGAGGAACTGTTAAGACAGTTGATATGTGAGGCATGGTTTTGGGAGATTTGATTATCCATATCACTCGCATTTCTTCCATTGTAATTGGGATATCTTTTTACAGTATTGGATGAAACATTGTGAGATTGTTGATGTATATTCGTGTAGTTGTTAGGTTTGGTGATGTTTCCATTTATATAATTATTTTTAATTGCTTTTCTTAATATATCAATGTTGGTGATATTTGCAAAGTTGCTGTTCAAGTTCATACTTGTGTTTTCATTCATGTTTACGTTGCTTTGGTTTATTAGGTTGTGTGTATTAGTGGTCGTATTACTATGATTGTTATGACTCATGTTTGGAAATATTTTATTGAAATTTAAATCATTTGCACGGGTGAAATTTTTTACATCTATACTGCTTCTGTCCTTGTTGTGTGGGATGCCATTCCTCACATTTGTCAAATTTATAGCGCTAGTACTTGTACTTGTATTTGTATTTAGATTCGTATTTGTGTTACTTGGGTTGATACCAGTGGATCCAGCACTTACATTTGAACCCAAACCAGAAGTGAAATGCTCCATCTGGTTAACTAAACAAGAGTGGGCTATGGATTGAAACAAGTTTTCTATTTCTGGAGATACATGAACAAAGGAACAATTCCAAAATTTAAAAATTGGATTTTTTATTAATTCAATAAATGTTATTAATAATCCCCAAGGGTGTGGTCTATGTACTATTAAACGTTCTAACAAAATTCCTGTTATTTGTTCATTGACAATTTCCATTTTTGATATGTTGAATATCCATAGGAGAAGACAAGAAAAATAGTGGGTATGAGCATTGGGATATCTTAAATGATTGGCTATGGAAGACAATAAATAATATCTTCCTTCCATATCTAACTTGTATGTCAAATGAAGTATTATTTCCAATGCTGGATGAGATTCTGATACTTTATCTATCATTAAAATTTGAGGAGGCAAAGACATTCCTATGTATAGAACTAGAGCATTTATTAAAGATATGTTATATTTTGTTTTTAAATATAAAGCTTTCATTTTGTTTTTTACAATAAGTTTTTTATGAATTCTTTTTAAACTTTTAACACTTCTTGTAACAAAATAATCATCTACATCTTTTTTTATTTTATAATCAATGAGTATAAATGTAAAGTTGTTTAAAATAACTGGTACCACTTTCATCTCTGGTAGTAAGTCAACCTTCAAATTTGGGTAAAATGGATGAGGTAATTTGAGATTTCTTGGAAATGCTGATAAAATTAAATTCCTCAACTGAACACAATTTAATGGTATGGAATTACAAAATGAAAAATTGTATACACATAAAAACTCTGGAAAATCATGTAATAATATTAACAATGTTCTTAGTGTTCCTCTATATAGTATTTTAATGGATGGGGTTAAATAAGCATTTTTTAAAAATACATACAAAAATTCTAATAAATAAATTAGTAACTTGTTGTATATGCACCATCCTTTGGAAGTTTTTAATATTTTTGGTAAGAATAATTTATGACTAATCAATTCTAGCCATGCAAAAATGAATGTTGGGACACGTAGTGGATTCAGAATACATAAATAATATCCCAATGCTAAAATTAATTTATTATATGAATATTCAAAGTGTTTTTCATTTTTATTTATCTCAATTAGTATTGATAAAAATAATCGGAAGTATGGTCTTTGATTGAAGTTCCCAGAATTCCTTCTTGATTCCCGTACTACAATTCTGCAAAACATGTTCATCACTTTTTGAAACAGAATGAAAGGAGATATTTGCTGCGTGTCAACTAATTTCATCATGCATATAATCATTTTTGCCAGCGCATCCAGTGATATGGTATCAATTGCGTCCTTCAGCTGAGAATTTTTTTCCAACTTTGCTTTTGATTTGTCATTCCAGCTGTTTCCCCTCGTCGCATTTTCTCCCTCTACGTCTTCGCAATCGTGCAAATCCTCTTCATCATAATAGATATCATCGTCGTCAGATTTGTCAAAAAGGACGTGATTCATTTCTTCACTGTCCATCTCTTCATCGTTCACCTCCTCAATGTTCATCTCCTCAATGTTCACCTCCTCACTGTACACCTCATCATCGTTCACCTCCTCAATGTTCACTTCTTCCAATTCTTCCTCCACCTCGTAACTCTCATTACTATAACAGTCATGCTCGATATCCGTTTCGCGCGTCTCATATGTTTCATCTTCTTCTTCGCTCTCAATTTCTGTTTCGTCTTCTTCTTCGTCGCTCTCAATATCTGTTTCGTCTTCCTCTTCCTCGTCATCCTCTTCCTCGTCTTCCTCTTCCACGTCTTCCTCTTCCACGTCTTCCTCTGTTTCTTCCTCTACTTCTTCCTCTGTTTCTTCCTCTACCTCTTCCTCTGTTTCTTCCTCTACCTCTTCCTCTACTTCTCCATCTTGTTCTACCTCTACTTCTCCATCTTCCAGTTCCTCTAGCTCAACATCGGTACCATCTGCAGTATCCTCTGATCCCTCAGTTTCATCTTCTTCCATTTTGCATTCCTCCTCTTTATTCACTTTTTCTTCATCTAAGATGATCTGATTTCTGTCCTGATTATTGCATTTCTTCATGGGAGAGGCTGTTTTATTTTGACTTGCGTCGTGATACCCTCTTTCTTCTTCTTCTCCTCCTCCTCTATTAATATCAAAATTAGCTTCTGATTTGTTAAATTCTTTATCCGATTCTAACATGATCTCGATGCCTGCCGATTCACTAATTGCTGAGGATAGATTCCTTAACATTTCATTTTTTTTTATTTGCATATGATTTATATTACCTTTGTTTTTTCTTGAATATTCATTGTACTGTTCTTCACATTCAGAAAGGGATTGCTCCGAATATGACATGTTTGAATAAAAAGTTAAATTTGTTGATGCGACGTATGAGGAGCTTTCATCATTTGAATCTTCCGAATATTCACTGCTGGCATTATTTTTTTCTCTTTGTTCATTTATTTCATCATTATAATTTTTTTCTAAATTTTTTGTTTTTACGTCAAACTGTTCTGTTTTTACATCAAATCGCTTTGGTTTCTCTTCTTGAGAATTTTTTTTTGTCATTTTGCTTTTACAAGAACTCGATAATACTTCTTCATTTTTTGAACCATCTTTACATGTACTGTCAGGAATGCATACTTCATTAACGTTGTTATTATCTGTTTTCACAAGATTTACTTGGCTTGGGGTATTTTTTTCATTTGGAGCTTCTTCCTTTTGAGATTTTTTTTGGGGGTCCATGTTTGTGTGTTTACAATTTGCATCTCCTGGAAAATACGAATCATTGTTGTTTGAAATATGGAATTCATCTGAACCATTTTTATCCTTTTCCATTTCAGGTGTATTAGTGTATGGGTTGAGTGTTATAGTACGTGTACCTTCTACAGCTTTATAAATACATACGGAAAAAAAATTATCTGTATTTTTGTCAATTCTTAATAATCCCTGATTTGATATATTTTGAAAAAATTTAACATAACTCTGATTTGGGTTATCTACATTTTTTATATTGATTAATTTGATCCATTGAAAAAAAAAAATACTAATAATTTGTTCATGTTTTTTCGGTATTTTTTGTGGTTTTGGTACTATTCTGATACCTCCTACGCCTTTGTCCTTAAAATTTTTATTATTTGTTTTTTTTTGTAATACATTCCAATCTGTGTTCAGACAGAAATCAATTATTTGTGTGAGAGTTGTTATGTTATCTGGGTTCATTAAAATTTTTAAGTATTTTTTCTGCTCCTTTTTTATGTGTCTCTTGGATCTGTAAGAATGTACATTCGCCCTGTTTGCATTTTTATTCACCCTGCTGTTCAAACTGTTGTGATTGTCGTTGCGATTGTCGTTGCTATTGTCGTTGCTATTGTCGTTGCTATTGTCGTTGCTATTGTCGTAGCGATTGTCGTTGCTATTGTCGTAGCGATTGTCGTTCCTATTGTCGTTGCGATTGTCGTTCCTATTGTCGTTGCGATTGTCGTTCCTATTGTCGTTGCGATTGTCGTTCCTATTGTCGTTGCGATTGTCGTTCCTATTGTCGTTGCGATTGCCCTTGTCACTGCCGATGCCATTGATGAGGGATGGGTCGGTCTTCCCATTTTTGTTATGCATGTGCATGCCCTCCAACGAATATTCTTTGGCTCCTTCTCTATCTATGAGGCCAAAATTGTCTACACCTTTCAATTCGTCTTGGATTTTATGAAAACTCTGTTCCTCATTTAGCGAACTTAAAAGATCATCACTTAAATGGTTATACTCCCTTTTAAAATATTCCAGGGGGTTCTTTAATAATTCACTTTTTTTTATATCATTCATATGGGAAGAAGTGTTATTTATTCCTATGTATTTTGATTGATAGGTACTTTCTTCTTCTTCTTCTTCTTCTTCTTCTTCATTGGTTTCTCTTCCTCTTTCTCTTTCGCTTTTCTTTTTTTCATTTGCTTCTTCTGTCTCCTTATCTTTTAACTTGGCTTCCTCATGAATCTTTTGCAAATTTTTGCTATTTTGCACGTCTTTCCCACTTAGCTGTCCCTCCTCCCTCTGCCCTTCTTTTCCCTCAGTATGTATATCATTTCTGCTCAGAATCATTTGCATCATTACGTGATTTTTGTTCTTTCCTCTTTGTGCATCATCATCGGTTTCTGCTTGATCATCATTATCTTCTTCGTCATACTCCTCATCATCACTTTTTAAATATTCTTCACAAAAATGTGATAAATCAGAAAAAATGACGCTACCTCTTTTTTCTTGAATTTGTTTAGCCTGTTCAGTTAACAATTGGATAGCCAAATTTATGTTAACTGCTGGGGAATTTATTGAAAAAATAACATGATTCCTGAGAATATTCTTCTCTTTTAGAGTATTTAGAATTGTAAAAATATTATCAAAATAGCTGTATCTAAAAATTTGAAAATCAATTAAAATTTTTTTTAGCAATGATACAACAAACTCAACATTGGCAGTTAAATACATTTCGTTGTTCAGTTCCCTTTCCATGTAATGTTTATATTTCTCCATATCAACTAGATTATATCTAATAAAACCTGCTATTACATTAGCATTGTGTTTATGCAAATTTTTATTGATATACTTTCCATCGGATTCATTTTTATTTTGAATGTCATCTCGATTTAAATTGCTATAATTGAGGGAAGAAATTTCACTTCCCGCTTTGCTTATATCATCAGATTCTCTCTCCTTGATGACGGAGTTAGAAGTGGCAAAAATGGATTTGTTATAACTTGATGAATTATCATTTGAGAGGAATGAAATATCATCTGACGTTATATAATTCGTTATATGTTCTTTTAATGAGGGGCATTTCCTTTTTAGTTTTTCTAGTATGCATAGAAATACTTCAAAATATATTCCAGATGGATCATTGGCTTTATAAATCCATTGTGATTTGTTACTGTTATGAGGAATAATATCAAAAAGAAATTTATAAATTTTGTTTGAATATGATATTATGGTTTCATTTTTATGTTGTGTCAGGGCAGCAATTTCGGGTATGGATTTTATTAGGTTAAATATGCTTCCATCAACAGACAGGCTATATAAAATGTGCAGGCTAATTTTATTTACATTATCATGAGATTTTTCTTTATTTATGTTAAACAGTATTGGAGGCAATATGAGAATGTCCTTAATGGCGTCTTTCAGTTGGCTGGTTGCATGTTCCAACTTTTTTAGCACTTTATGTAGCTGTGAATTGGATCCTAGCGAAACCGAGGATGCAGAACCCGATTGATGATGCTGTTTATTACTATTATTGTTACTATTACTATTGTTACTATTACTATTGTTACTATTATTGTTACTATTACTATAGTTACTATTATTGATACTATTATTGATACTATTATTATTTTCATTCAGGTTACCTTTCGTGTGGCTCACATTCGGCAGATTTTTTATACTATTATTTTGGCTACATTCTGGGCTCGTTTTTTGGTTTGCTTCTCTGTCTGTGTCATTTTTTGGCGTGCCATTTTGCTGCTCATTATTTGTTAATTTTTGTTCGTTCATATTTTTCGAATGACCGATTTTTTCTTCTTTTTTTTGTAAATTTGAACTTGAAAATAGAGCATGCATGAGGGTACTTTGCTGATGATTATCTGCATTGACTTCATTAATGTTTTTGTATATTCGTGTTAATGCTTTGGCAGCTGCATGTAATTTTTTTAGTGGTGCTATATTTAAAAAATCTTTATAAATTTGCAACTGATTGTTAGTTACGGGTGATCCTAAGTTTAAGTATTGCGAAATTTCTAACTGAATTTTTTTGGTGTTTATTAGATGTGTGGGTTCCTTAAGTGTTATGCTATTTTCTTTAGCTACTTGTCTAGCTAAAAGGAATGGTTCTAATGCTTCATTTATATCTTTGATAGCTTTTTCAATAACTGCCTGTTCAATTAAACTACAACCAAATTCTAAATTATCTGCACTTAGAATTTGAACTACTTGTTCAATTAAAACTTGGTCATTACAATCCTTTGTACTTGTTTTTTCTAACCAATGCCTTAAATGTTGAGTGAGAGAAATGCGTAGAGGTTCTTTACAGGTAGCTAAGGCTAAAGAACCAGCTAGCGAAGCAATCATAATGTGGGCTGCTTTACGAATTAACATTTCATCTTTTTCTAAACAAAAATCTTTGCATATAATTTCTCTCGTGGTGACACAAGATATAGCTACTGATCTTTCTAATATGGCTGCAATAATTTCTTTAATAGCCTGGTAAAAAGCTATAGTGACTAAACTTTTTAAACTGGGTTGAATTTGAAATAGAGCTATTGATGGGGATATAATAACTGCATTGTTCAAGCTTTGTAAAAATTTACTGTTATTTATTTTCTCATTAATTAAATTGCTGTCAATCGATATATCTGGAATGTTTATGTTGCTATTACTATCATAATAGTTGACACTGTTGTTACCACTGTAATCAGTACCTCCTCTGCCATAATAATTGGCTTTACCCAAGCAGTTGCCATTATTGGCATAGCTCAGATTTGGGGTAGGCTGTTGTTCGTCCATAGTGTTTGGATTTTGATTTAAATTATTGGAAATCTTTTTGCGATAATTCGAATTAATAAAATTAAAATCTGGTGGGGAAAAGGAAGAAACTAACGTGGTGTCATTCGTTAGGGCATCAATCCTTTCTGCACCATGCTTGTTCCATTCGGATTCAGCATTATCTGAATTAATGTTTTGCTGGTTATTGTTACTGCTCATGTATTGAGCTTTATCTGGGGTATATCTGTTGCTTGGTCTTGCAATCTGAGCTGCATTATTCGCTGCATTATTCGCGGCATTATTTGCTGCATTATTCGCGGCATTATTCGCTGCATTATTCGCGGCATTATTAGCGGCATAATTCGCGGCATTATTCGCTGCATTATTCGCGGCACCTTTTGCAGCACTACTTGTTTTATTCATTGCTGCAATTCTTATTACATTTTCTAAGTCCCCCAACTTGGACTTCTCATTGAGGGAGTTTTCTGTTTTACTTATAAGATTATTATTAACATTTGTTAAGGTATCCCTTGGAGAAACATTTTTTAGATCGCCCCCAACTGAAGGAAAAATTGTGTTATTAATGATGTTAGTACTGCCACCTTTTGACACGAGCAAATTATTTTTCCTATTTTGTGCAGCACTACGCTTGCTGAGTAGAGTAGTTTTATTCTGAAATGCATGTATATCTAATGCCAAATTTTTGAATAGAATTTCTACTTCAAATATTGTATACGTTTTCACATTTGGTAATTCATGTATTTCTGTTAATAAGCATAACATAGTTGTTGTCCACGGATTTGGTGGTTTAAAATTTTTGGACAATTTTATAGATTCTAAAATTCTGCATACCATTGGTAATATGCAAACTAAGCATCCTTTTTCATATGCTTCGAATAAAACTAATTTTAAATCTAAAATTTTTGATTTTAGTGGTCTATTTCTCCCTAAGGTTATGAATCCTAACCAAGAACCTAAATTTTTCAGTACTGTTTTAAAAGCGCTAACTTCTTTCAGTTCATTTATATATTTAAATAATATTAGGATGCAGTCATACGTCATATTAATAATTGTATCAATAAGCATTGGATAACTTAGTTTATCAATAAACTCAAGGAATACTTCATGTAGGTTTACTTCCTTCGAGGCTCTGGATTTTACAATGTAAAAAGCTAGCCAATTGTAATACTCTGGTTGCATCACCTCTTTTAAAATTTTTATTTTTTCATCAATATTGAATGAACATAGGGTGTTAAATATACTAAATACTTCTCCTATTATTATTGAAGAAGGTACAATAACATTTTTTGTTAAATCGGTGTGATCCATTAAGCATTCAATTTGACCTAATCCAAATCCCCCCATGTTGTTTATATTTAAATTCGGTGGTAACTTCACCTGTACTCTGTCATAGAATGATTCCATAACTTCGTACAATGGTTCCCCTTTCTCTCTACTACTGTTTTTATTGTTACTGCCGATGTTGTTATTACTTCCGCTCTTGTTGCTGCTGCTGTTGTTGTTGCTGCTGCTGTTGTTGCTGCTGCTGTTGTTGTTGCTGCTGTTGTTGTTGTTACTGATACTGTTACTAGTGTTGTTATTATCACTGCCTCCATTATCATTATCCTTATCATCTTTATCAGCACTCTTGTTATTATTCACACATTTGACGCCTTCAGGCGTGGTGGCATATTTGGAACCATCGACAATACAATTTAAGCTAGTTTCACCTATATGTTCATTAAGGCTAGAGATATTAACAGAATTTGCAACGTATCTATTACCAAGGTTGAGTGTATTTCCTTGTGTAGTTAGAATTCGGTTAATTTGATTTTTATCATTTGGGGAGGCATACGATCGGTTAGTATACAACTGATTCGTGATACCAAAGGTATTGTTTGACTTATCACCATTTAGCATATTCACATTGGAAGTACTATTCTGGTTATTAACTGATGGGTTAAAGTTGCTTATTTTTGCATTCAAGTTATTGTTTATGCTATCGTCTATATTTTTGTTTTTGAAAGTATAATCACTTTTACTTAGGATATGATGCTGATTATTGTATTGATTAGGCGATTGCGTTAAGCCTGAGTTATTTGGTAATATGTCATTAATATAGGATAGCATATTATCATTATTTATGTTACCACTATTTCCACCTGTTTTATTGTTAGTATTAGTATTTTTCAGAAGACTGCTTAGGGCGCTGGAAAAAGTGTTATTATTGTTGTTACTGTTGGAACTGCTGGTCCCGATGAGATTATTGCTCACATTTGCATTGTCAGAAATTCCAGCACTGGAAGTGATACTACCTATATTGTAAATTAAATTATTTACATTCTTCACATTATTTGCATTGAGTGCAGGCGTCTTTTTCATCTCGTCACTAGACATTGGGGATATATTGTTGTTCCATGAGTTATTGTTTGAACCCATTTCTGAAAGATGTTTTATTTTTAATATTGTAGATGCATCTATGTATGGTAAACTTCTAAAATGCTCTGGAAGTGTATTTAACAAATTATTGCAATTAATTACGTATTGCGGATTGTACTGTCTTAAACTGGGGACTGATACTAGGGAAGATAAAAAACTGGGATAGCATATTAATGTGTCCTCAAACTGTTCCAATGCTGTGATTCCAAAGTTAAACATTTTTGAATCATTTCCTTTTTTTAAAGCTTCCAGAATACATTTCAAAGCAACAGCCAAAGTATTACCATAGGATAATAATAAATTATGTTTTATTAATTTTCCAAACAGCTGTGCAGTAGTATCCAATTCTTCTGAAGGATATTTTGGGAAAAATCTACATTCATTGAATAAAATTAATAACATTGATTTATATACCTCATTATTTTTGGATCCTTTGGGGGAATATGATAAACTTTTCATAATATCTATCATTGTATTTACTGTAATTTCCCCCGTGTATAATTTTGCAAAATAACCATTCACTTCACCCTCATGTTCACTCAGGAAAGCAGCGTCGACATGGACATTTATGTTGAAATTGTTATTCATTTTTTTAGCGCATGTTTTGTTTTTACTATATGCCTATAATGTAATATCGTTAAAGTATGTTTCTGCAGTTTTTTTTTTTTTTTTTTTTATTTACTTGGTGCTACCACGCACACAAACAATTATATATTTTTTCCGATTTATTTGTACGTATGGTTATATACAAATGCATGTATAGGTATTTTTGCGGTATATATGTTCGTGCGTGCACAAGTGGTTATTGATGTATATATGTGCTTACGTAAAAATATAATTATACAAGTATGTATGGGTGTATGTGCAAAAGTGATGGGATAATATATATATATATATATATTTATATCTCTCTTTAAATTTTTCCTTTTTTTTTTTTTTTTTTTTTTGCTTTGCTTTGCTTTGTGTGTTTGCGAGATTTTGTTTTCTTGTTGAAGCTTTGAAAGTAAAATGTACAAGCACTGTAAAAATTGTTTTGGGTTTCTTAACTTCTATATAAAGTGGAGATGAAGAAATAAAATAAATCTTAAGAATAACTTTTTAGTTTTTTTTTTTTTTTTTTTTTTTATAGTTTCTTGGGTTGTTTGTTTCTTCCTTTGTTCATGTGTTAAATTTTGTCATATATTCATTTATATGTGTTTAATGGCCCACTGATTATTTATTTTATTTTTTATTTTATTTTTTTTTTCTGTCATAAGAGCCTTTAAGATTTTTCTATAAAGTATGTACATATACATATGTACACGTAATATACATATATATATGTATATGTGTATATATGCATATTTTGACCACATTTTTTTTTTTTTTTTTAGCATACAAGAATGATGCATTGCACTACAAGTAATCACTAGTAATCTTTTGTTATTTTGAAGTGCACGGAAAGAGCCACAAAATGGAAGAAACCTCCTCTTTGGAATACAGTGTACACTACCAACATTTTGGTTTTCCTTCATGCTGTACTAACTCCTGTGCAGTGCCTATGTATTCTTAAGCAAGCACATTCTTACACGTACACGAGCATTTATCTGTGCTGATATTTACGCGACGGTACGCATAAGGTGCGGAATCAGTTAGCACATAGTGGTAAAATTCATTATTAAGTAATTTTTCCTTAAAGTTATATAGTTCCTCTACGTGTGGTGGCTTAGCTTTTTCTTTTTTTTTTTTTTTTTTTTTTATTCACAATGAGAAATGTATAATTGTACATACATGTGCTTATATATAATTATACATATTGTGTGCGTACCTTTTTTTTTTCCCCTCTATACATATTTTTTTTTTTTTCAACACACTTTTTATTCGTTTTAAAACTTGGGCGACAGAATATATTTTTTCTTCAATGTGGAGAATCATTTTCAGAATGTTAAAAAATAAAACCTTTATATTTACAAATTGAAGTAAAAGGAAGTCCCTTAAAATTGATGAGCCAAGAAGATGTTTTTTGTTGGCTATTTTCTAGCATAGGCAAATGTTGTGTGAACGTTTTTCATCCCCATGCTTTCTTTTCTTTTCTTTTTTTTTTTGCGTTTTTTCGTGTTTTTTTTTTTTTTTTTTTTTTTTTTCTTGATTTGCTTATTATTTCCAAAAGTTTCAATAGTTAAAGTTGAAAATGAATTCTATAAATACGTCAGTTTTTTAATTTTGATATAATTTTTTTCACATGAATAATTGAAGCTATACATATAAGGTATTTCAGATATGTACATTTACCACTGAGCACTAATACATATGCTGTTTCCCTTTTGAGTTTGTACATAAATTAATCCATTTTTGTGCTTGCACATACATGAATAAGAATGTAAGGATTTATTCACAAATGGGACATGCATTTGTCATGCGCACATTTTTTATGTTAAACGAGTTGTTTAATATGTAGTAAGGGGAAAAAAAAAAGAAAAAAAAAAAAAAAAAAAAAGCAAATACCCAACAGGAGTGTTCCAGTGATGAAAAATATTTACAGTGTTGATATTGGTACACATACAATTATATGTAAATTAGAACGTATAAATTAATGTAATCACAATAACAAATAGTAATTTCTGCTAATATATATATATCATAGCTTCATTCTTGAGGAGAATTTATCGTATCTATGGGCTCATTCGTGCAGGTAACATTGATTCGAAAGAGGAATAAAAAGTTTGTTTTATTTTGGAGCTCGGATATAGAGTTGGCTTCTTTTTTTTTTTTTTTTTTTTTTTTTTTTTATTCATGCTACAAAAGTAAATAATTTTATTGCAAGTCTATTTTATCCTATGAATATATAGAACTTGATAGAAAATAAACACCGTATTGGTAAATGCGTAAAAGTTGAAATGTGCACACATTTAAAATTTTGTAACACACACATTTTTTTGCTTTGATCTTTACATGAACAAAATCATAACCACTATGAATTAGTTAAGTCGGTTTTAGATTTTGTAAAGAGGAACGATAGTGAATGCTAATATACTCGATTTGGACAAATTAAGCTTTTTTTTTTTTTTTTTCCCTCCCCCAAATATCTATGAACATCACATACCCAAGTTTTTTTCTTCTTTTTTTTTTTAACAAAAAAAGTATTTATTTTTTCAATACTTTTAAAAGCATGCATGGATTCGAATAAAGTTTTATGTTTTTGATAACATTGATAAGGACATGACTGTCTTAGAAATATATCACACTATATTTTTATTTTTTTTTTCTCACTTTTTTCACACAATTTTTTTTGGATACAAAATTAAATGTATAAAACTATAGTGGCAATATAATATTATCTACAAACTAAAAAGAACAAAAAAAAAAAAAAAGGATAGGAAAGGGATATACCAAAAGATATTCATTCAAAGATCCAAACGTTTTACATCAATTTTATGAAGAAGGCATATATAGCAAAAATACACATAGAATTAGCAATAAGCACTGTGATAGTGAACTTTTGAATGAATGGAAAATATTTTATAAATTATATTAAACAGGAATGAAAAATAATAGTGAAAAATATTAATCAAAAATAGTAATGAAAAATAGTAATGAATGAAAAAAAAAAAAAAAAATCCCTTTTCCCCTTTTCCCTCGTCCTTTTTTTTTAATTTTTTTTATTGTATTAACTGTACTCTTACAAAAATTAGTTTTCGAATAAGTTTTTCTTTCATATTTTTACGTAAATATACAAAAGTGTACACTATATATATTGATACATTTTTGATACTGTTTAAAAAAAAATGTAACAATCGTTTTTTTACAAATAGGAATAAGTCTTTTTTCTATTTATTCAACTAATATAAAATATTCATAAAAAAGAAAAAAATATAGGAATATATTAGACGAGAAACACAGACGTGTAATGGTTTGGGATAAATCCATTCACACAAGGAGGTGTAATATATTTTTGCTTATGTGTATATTATGTATTCTCCCATGCACATGAGCAAAAATTTATATACATACAAGTAATTATATGTAAATGCCCAACTGAATATATACAAACATATAGGCATTTCAAAGGGGAATCAAATAAAATTTTAATTATACTTTTCTTTTTCTTTTTTTTCCCAATGATTGGTATGAATACGTGTAAGAAAAATAAAGTTTCATATAAAACAAATATTTTCTTAAAGTTGACTTGTAAAAACTTCTTTAACTTTTTTAAATATTTTGGATTTTTTTTAAGGAAATTTTCTCTAGACAATTTCCCAAATTCTCCTTTCGCAATTTTATATTCTGTTCTTGTAAAATTATGGTAAACACTAAATCCGAAAATTTTAGAAGTGCAATAAGCAGGTGTTTTCAATGTAGCATAGTATGGATAAGTTTGTAAAAGTATATGCGGAAAAGATGTTCCAAAAAAGGATCCATCTAAGTATACTTTTTCTTCTTCAGGTATTTTATAAATTTCTTGACATAATGGGCAATATATATGCACTTTTGCAATTTTAATTTGATCAAATAGACCAATTGGTAGTACATTATGCTGCGAACAACTAACTCTTGGACAACATCCAAAATCTCCTTTAATGTATTTATCCTTCATTAATGATAATCCTTTGGGAGTTGTAATAAATCTTGCATGAATTAGGGAATATAAACAAACAGCATCTTTTCCAAATGTGTTCTTAGCGTCATCTTCATCAGGAGCATCTCCAGCTATTATTGACAATAAATGATTAAAATTTGGTATTTCGGATTTTAACCCGTATAAATTAAATGAATCTGTTATATATTCATTATCTACTTCCACTAAAAAATTGCTCATGGCTTTACTGTTAAACCATTTTACCCATGATGTACTTTTATCTGATTTGGAATCATTATCATCTTTGTTTGAATCACTATTATTCATTTTTTTTTTTTTTTTTTTTTTTTTTTCTCTCTATTTAGTCTTCAAGATGTATCTGCTTATTCCGTATTTTATGAAATACTTTTATAACTATCTTAATCACACACATATGTATGTATTATTAACATATGTAAAGTGATAAAAAAAAAAAAAAAAAAAAACATATCTAGTTAATGATAATTATAAAATATACTAGACCTAATTCTTTTTTTTTTTTCTTTTTTTTTTTTTTTTATCTATATAATATCATGTGAGTTTAATAAAAGAGAACTAATTTTACATTTGTTTTAAGATTAGTGTGTTAAAATAAGTAAATATCTTAGTAACCTTCCAAAAAATGGTTATTCAAATTTTTATTAAATTTGCTTTTATATTTAATATTACGACATTCAATTTTTGTTCTGCTTTCGGCTTTTTTAAAAAATGAATGAAATATATTTTAATATTCCTTTTTTCCAACATTTATGAAAAGATTGGTATAACTCTTTGAATTATGTTCTGTTATTACTTGTTTGAAAGTGTGCCTTGGGAAGTAGAAGTTTGGGTAGAGGCTGGGATAATAAACTGATAACTAATAGTCTTATATACAAGAAAATGTATAACCCATGGTTTTAGGGATTCTTTTTTCATGGCGCGTTAATTTTCTTTTTATCCTTTTAGGGAAAAATGGCACATGTGAAAAATTACCATAACTTCAATTCGTGAAGTAGTGAGGAATAGTTATATACATGTGTATAGTGTATAGGTTTGAGGGGTAGTAGGAAGTATTATAAACCTTTTATGCATACATGTATGCCCCACCTACATTGGTGTTATAATTATACTCATTTAAATATACATAAATATACATAATTTCTCGTGGATACATTTTAATTACGCCTTTTTATATTCAACAATTATGTTAATATCAATGGTATAGAGATATATACACTTTGAATCATTCGTTTCCTTAATTTCATTATGGAATATTGAAAAAAAAAAAAAATTAATTAAAGATATATTAAATTTCGTGATAACAGTAGTGGCATTGTGAATGTACAATTATTTTAAAAAGTTTGTTTCCTATTTCGATTGTTGAAAGGCCTTGAATTTTTTTTTTTTTTTTTTTTTTTTTTCTTTCCTAATTGAAATATTACATACGTGTAAATAGGATAAATATACATACCCTATTTAAGTATACAAAATTAATGAGCAATTCTTGAAAATAAATTTGATCATCCTATTTTTATTCAATAGGAACATGAGAAAATTTTAATTCTGTTAAAATTTTTAAGTGTATACTTGTGAACATGGAAATCATTTTGCGAACAATTTTTTTATTCTCTTAAAATATAAAATAGAACTGGATTTTCATGGATGAAATCTTTCAGAATTTACATCAAAAAGTAGCTTATAAAACTCTTTATATGATAAAATGTCATTTATGCATATCATGTAAAAAAAAGGGTTAAAAGTTGTGTTCTTACATTCCTATTTGTAAATTTAAAGATTGCATAAAATATAAAATTAATAAGGTTCATTCGCTTTTGTACATGAGGTGTAGGAAAATGTGAAATACAAAATCAGATGAATATGGTGTGAATTATATGTTTTTTTCCAAGTGAAGAGAATGTAATGTGAGGTAAACTACAACTGTTTGATGTTGAAAATAAGTTACTTTTTTTTTTTTTTTTTTTCCTATTCCATTTTGTCATAATGAAATTACTATAGTGTTTTTTTTTTTTTTCTTTTTTTTGTCCATTTTATATCCTTCGTATTTATGCAAGCTCTGAGATGTTTTTTTTAAGAATGCTAATATTTGAAATAGTAAAGACTTGTTAGTCTCGCTTAACGAAAATAGTGTTGTAACATAGATAATATGGGTGTGTGTATGTATATATGTATGAGTACATGTGTACCTACTCTTAGAGCTTGAAGTTTGTGTGAAAATGTTAATTATTTACTTAGAAATGTTTGTAGGTAGGCATTGTAGAAAATTTAACATGGACATTTTTAACATTTGCAATGTGTTATGTATGTAATTTCGAAATGAAACTTCAAAAGGGTAGCACAAAAAATTTTATTACAATTTTTTTTTTTAATTTAAAAAAAAAAAAAAAAAAAAAAACATTATACTTTAATGTGTTTATTTGATTCTCTGAGTGCAATAAAATTTTTGCATGTTTTCTTTTTCTTTTTTTATTTGAAAAAATGGGCAAAAACAAAAATTGCGGGGAGTATGAATAATTTAAAACAAAAAAATTCAAATTCGGGAATGTGAACATGTGCATTTTGCATATTCGTATCAAATGTAAATGATACATCATGGGATGCATTTCGAATTTGCAAATGTTTAATCGTAACTAGGAAAAAAAAAAAAAAAAAAATCAAAATTTGTTTAAAACGAATGGTTGTCCATAAAAAAAAAAAAAAAAAAAAAGGCACACTTAAGAGGTGAATTAATTGAAAGCAAGCACATGCGTACGTACTTGTATGTATGCGTATATATATGTGTGAATGTGTCATGTGGTCTATTTGCTTATGCACTGGTTTTATAGAACTTCTGTTACAATACACGTTTTGCAAAATGGTATATCTTTTGTTAAAGATAAGCTTTATATTAGAAAATGTTTTCTCTATATGAATAAAACAGTTAATATATACTCATCCTTTTTTCAGACACATTTTTTATCTACGATATTTTTAACACCAAACTCTTCATATTCACTTTTGGTCATACAAAATTGCGGGAAGGTTCCCAAGGATGACAAAATGGATGCACCTATGAAACAGTTGTATTTTCTATCAAGCCCTTTACTATAAATAATTTTTGTGCTTTTCTCTTTTATTGTGTCTATAAAAGGTAGATACGATTTTAATATTCCAACAAAATTATGAAACATTGTAGATTCACCTGTTACAATTAAGAAATTAAGAACTTCATCTAAGTTCATATTTGCAGATATAAAGGATAAAATTCCTTTTTTAATAAAATCTTGTAAGCCATCAAATATTTCAAAGTAAGTTTCAATGTTATTTGAGTAACATATATTGGAATTCTTGTCAGCAGGGTTGTCTGGCATTCTTTCGATAACTGAATTAGAATTATTAATTCTGTAATTATATTTGTGTAAAGCTGGAAGCTTTAAATTTTTTAGGGAATCATAAAATAAATTAAAGTCGAAATTATTTAATGTTGCCATTTCGGTAACTTTACTTATACTATTTTGATTGTATTTCTTTCTAAAAAAGATATAAGGAAAAATAAGTTTTAATGATTCACAAGTGTTTTGATCTATCACATTACCGTCAGGTAATTTATAACTATTGCTAATTTCATTTATGTCTGCATTTTTTTTACTTTTATCAACCAAAGGTTGAAAATCATTAACTAAATTATCTTTTAATTGACTAACTACGTGAAGAGAACCCCAAAGATAGTACGATTTTGTGACTAAGGGGCATTTTAATATTCTAATTTCATTACATCCGTTTTCATTACTTAAACTTTTATCAATAGTAAAGTAAGGATATATTTTTATGTTTTTAGCATTTTCTAGATATGCTAAATAAATTCTATCTATTAGGTCTCCTCCTATGGGAACTTCTTCAATGTGTTTTTGAAATATATACCCCTCTTGTATTCCACATAAATTTGTACAATTTCGTTCAACATTTAGTACTAATCCAGATGTTCTTGCACATCCATAACATGATAAAACACTTCTTCTAGATAGGAATAACTGATATACATTATGTGTTTCAAACATTAATTCTGTAAACTTTTCTCGATATCTACTGTCTGTTTTGTTAGGTTCCGTTAATAAAATAGGATGATCTTGAAAATTATCATCTAATGCTTTACTACCTGATATGTCTTCAAGCAATTTTTCCATTACATCAAAATTTATATCATACTTACTCTTGTTATTATCGTCATATATATATTTCATTCCATATAATAATTCCACATTATCTCTTTTTATTTCTGGCAATAATGGGAATATAGTATGTTTTAGAGTTGCATTGTGTCCTATAGGTAACCCTAGAATTAGGTTAGAATTGTATCTGGGCGAGCATTCGCCTGAATACCCTGCCCTCATTTCACCATCGTTAATGTCTAAAATTATGGTCTGTATGTTCTGAAACATTTTTTCGCATGTGTAAAGAGTAGAGGGGGGTGACAACAAAAAAAAAAAAAAAAAAAAAAAAAAAAATATTTTTCAAATATCCTTATCTATTTATATAGGTTTATTTCCTGTTGGACTGTCCCACTCTATCTTTCCACATTTCCATATTAACCTGTGTGCAAGCTATCAAATGGGATAAGCAAAATCTTCAGTTTTTTTTTTTTTTTTTTATAAAAATGTTCTTATTAACTATTCTTTTCTCATATCGCTTCAGCATGTACAAATAGATGTTTCACCTTTTCATATCCTATAAAACTTTTTGAAGTCCAGTTATGTTCGCTATATTTGTGTATGTTAGTGTGGGTTATATATTTTTATATGTATTTTTGCTTGTGCTTCCTTTACGCTTGTTTTCTCTTTCTTATATGTTTCCAATTGTACATTTCCTTGTTTTTCTTTGGCATTTGTATAAAAACTAGTTTGTTAATCCCTTTGCGTATAAGAATGGCGATGCATATAATGGTAAAACAGTACACCTATACTAGTTTGACATATCTCCCCCAAGGAGTATAGCCGATTTCAACACGCACGTGTATTTATTATTTCATCTACTGTAATCGTTACAATGTTATTATGAGTGTTTAATAAGAGTGCTGGAAGCATTTTCTTCTTCTCTATATTTTCTAAGAGAAAAGTATTATATTTCGGAGTAAACTTGTATGCTTTGTTGAGAATCATGCTTTATAATTATTTTCACTTTTTTTTTTATTTTTTATTTTTTTTGGTACAGTTGGGGTGAAGTGGAAAAAATAAGGACATTTACACAATTTACTGCCAAAAAAATAGGTGCCAAGTGAGAACATGCCGTAAGCCTTCTTTATTTGTATAAATACATACGTAAATATTGTACATGAAAAATAATTTTTTTTATTATAAGTTTATGTAATGAAATATTTAATTCCCAATTATGTCAAGTTTGCTTTCACTTTATATTTTTTATTATTTATTTATTTTTTTTTTTTTTTAGATAAAGCTGCTTATTTTTTACTGTAATATTGTAAAAAAAACACAACTTTACAATTTCTTTATTTAAATTGATTACATTTTTAGAATATTCCCTTTCCCATTCCCTTTTGTTCTTTTTTTGTTTATGGAATGATTTGAAAACATTCTACGGAATGTTCAGTGAATTTTTTTTTTTCTTTTTTTCTTCTTTTTTCTTTTTTTTTTTTTTTTTTTTTTTGTCCCTTTTAGCCTATACGCTGGACATTAGTGGTAGGGCATGTAAACACATAGGCATATTTTTCACATATTAACTACGCTAATGATATAGCATAAAGAATTGTTGAAATTGAAAGATATGACATGAAAAACAATTAAAATTAATGTAATGTTCAGATGAAAAAATTTGAACGAACTTTGATTTTTTGAAACCCTTCATCCGTATGTCCAATTATAATTTTATTTTTCCGATTAGATATTTTCCCGACTTTGTCATTTGAACCTGCTTATTTTTCTGTCCAGGTATACACAAATATATGTTCCCATGCGAATATATTATGTGTGTTTTTACCTTTTCCAGGATTTTAGCACATTGTTCCTTTTTTCTATTCCTCGACAGTTTTTCATTTCTATGCAAAATTTTGATGATGCTATATTTTCACCTATTTTCCTTAATTACGTAAATCATGCAACATGATAAAAACTGTGTCACTATTTTAATTTATATTTCATATGAAAAAAAAAAAAAAAAAAATAACATAAAAGATGCAATTTTGTTTCTGCAAAAAAGTATTATGTGAGTTTAACTTTTTTATGAAATTTATAAGGTTGTGCATTATTTTTGTAAATCACAATAATAGTTTACTTAGTTCCTGTCTCATTATGATGAACTATGGTTTTTCATTTCCCCTTAATTTTTGTTCATTTTTCCGTGTCTTTGAAAAGGGGAATTTACCAATAAACACAATATGGCATCATGATTTTAGAAAAGCTTCCATTGCTACTTTTGTGATCCAGGGGTTGTTAGAGACTTGGTGAACTATTTTTTTCCTCGTCTCCAATATGTTAAATGCTTGTTCTATAATCATGATGAATTAATTATAAACAAGTGGAACATACAAAAGAGATAAAATAAAAATAGGACAAAATAAGGTAAAAAATAGGACAAAATAAGGTAAAAAATAGGACAAAATAAGGTAAAAAATAGGACAAAATAAGGTAAAAAATAGGACAAAATAAAGTAAAAATAAAAAAATTGCACTTGTTTTTTCAAGGCGTTAAAAATGTGTACATACATAGATCAAGCAGGATTTCAAAATGGGCAAGTCATTTATGCACGTCCTTGCTAAAAGGTGTAGTGTGGAGGGGAAATAAAACTGATTAATCAAATGTAATAACCTTTTTTCGAAAAACGTTTTAAAGTGATAAAAGAAGGTTTCTATGATATCGTTTAGCTCCTTTGTTTCATGTGATAATTCTAAGTGTTACTATAGTATCACTTAACTATATTATTTTTTTTTTTTTTTATTTCCTGTCTCTTTAAGGGTGATGCAAATGTTTGTTTTCCTTTTGTGTTAGGAAATAAATTAATGATAGTAAAAACTTGTTTGTACACTCTTGTCGATGTAACTTTTTTTTTTTTTTTTTTTTTTTTCATGTAACAGGACCATATATATACATATATTTGCACACATACATGCATTTGTTCATATTTACATATTTTTTCATCAAATTGTATAATAATATAAAAAATGCTAGTCATAATGAAAAAATTGGGAATTGTTTTTTTCATTTTACTTATCAAAGAAGTATTCACATTGAAAATATTATCAAAGAGAAAATATCCGAATGTGCAGAACGGAGTATATCAGTTAGACAACCGAGGAAGACCAATAAAAATTGTTGATGTAAATTACAATCATGTGTGGGAATTGCCAAAAAATGGAAGTGTTAATTCTTATGCCGTTGTTAAAAAAAATGGAAAAGTTAAAAAGTTTAGTGAAGGAACAAATATAATATATGGAACTACAAAAAAAGAAAATCTGGATGATGTTTTTGAAGATGAGGAAGTAGATGAAAATCAAATAAAAAAAGATATTGCAAAGAGTAAAAGAGTAAAAAATATAAAAAATGTTTCTAGTGTATCTAAGAATGAAAAAGAGATGGAAGAAAAGAAAAAAAAAAAAAAAAAGCTTGAAGTACCTGGTGCTATGCATATAACAGCTGAAGATGTCCCGGAGATGCAGGAGAAAGAAGAGGAGGAAGGGTAATGAAAATTTAAGAAAGATTTACAAAAACAGAATTTTACAAATTGTTTGATGACAATTGTTTATACATTTATAAATATGAGTATGTATGAACCAGAGGAAAAAATTCCCAAAGTGGGCAACATAAAATTCCTACTACTATTTCAACAACCCATGAAAGGAGTCCTTACATTACACAATTAGGATAACTCTAAAATTTTTACAAAATGTACATTTTTTTTTTTTTTTTTTTTTTTTTTTTTTACACATTTTAAGATATGGCGATATAGCAAAAGAATTAGGAGGTACTTGAAAATATACAATGGAATAATAAAATGAGCAAGAATAAACAGTTTTTGTGTTGTCACATTTATTTGGCTGTTCTGATGGACTGGTGTTGAACTTGTTAAGGGTAATTAATCTACGAGTCCTTTTATATTACATTATCATTTTTTCCCTCTATTTTATTTTTTCTTTGCAGCTAAGATAAAGGAAAATTTAGAGAGGTTTCATTTAATATAAAAACGGAAATAAAATAAAACACAAAAGAAGGAAAAAAATAAGCATACACATATATGTCTACAGCTTTCGTACTTATGTAAACTTTTTGGATGAATTACTAAAAAATTAACTTATGTTTGCACCTGAACATGTTCAGCCATTACCAGGAAAGCAAAGTCCCATCGTCTTTAAGTGCCGATTTGCTAGATGTTAAAATCCCCACGAATTTGGAAAAACTTCTAATGGACGATCTGGAAGAGAGGAGATGGTTTTCGAAAAAACCTGTACATGATAAAATATGCTTACGAGATTACTCAAAACAATGTCCTTCTATGTGGGAGGAAATATCAGAAACTCAGTGCATAGCCCCCAAGTATTGAAAAAGAATAATAGAACGCCACTGATTTATAGGATTCTGTGTTTTCCGTTTATATTTATTCTACTTTGGAGACAATATATTTGTTTATGTACACATATATATATATACATATACATATATTTTTTTTTTTTTTTTTCCTTTTCCATTTCATCCATTTTCCGTGAAAGAGATTACACGGGGCCCTGTTCACATTTAATGACTCTTGAACCCATGACTGCAAAAGAGAAAAGCCTAATAGGAAGCGATTGCAATGGTGGAACACGAAAAGTGATGAATCTAAAATTTTCATATAATTTTATAAAGTGTTATTTACATTGTTGAAATGTATGCACACATATATATGCACTATATATATATATATATGTATATATTCACGAATTGAAGTAAACTGGTTGTGCCTCAATGAGTCATGTGGCAATAGCGAAAGGGATTACTCAAAGGACTGTCCAGAGAGTTGGACATACACGGGAAAATGCGAAGCACCAAAGTAGGTTTAAAAAGAGGGGGGGAAAAAAATATGCAAAGAAATATGCGAAGAAATATGGAAAGAAATATGCGAAGAAATATGGAAAGAAATTTGAGAAGAAAAATGCATGATAACAATTATTACCGTTCCGATAGGTAACGATGAATATATTTATTTTATTTTTTTTTTTTTTTTTGAAGAAATTACTCAGGAGGGTGCAACAAGACAATGGTAACTGGATTAGTACATTTCATGAATACTAAAATATATAGCATTAACTTTTATAAATACACAAGTATGGAGATTTATTCCATGTTGAATCATCTGTGAATTGCAGGATTTTGGGGCCTTTACGCAAAACGAAAAGGAGGAGTTTTCTTCTGGTAATTTTCAAGACGTTTATAAAAGGGCAACATAGAGGAGAGGCCTTATTTGCTTCTACTTTTTTTTTTTTTTTCTTTATTGTGGACTTTATGTTATTATTTTTTTCACTTTTTCTCAGCTTGTAAAGCGGTAGGATGATAGTTTCTCAATTAGCGAAGATTATATTAATAGAATGAATTTGTCTGATAATAAGAAGAATGTGTTATAAAAAGTTTCACAAATACTTTAACACATTTAAAAATGTAACTTTTGTTTTCCATCAATGACTTCATAAATTAATGGATAGGTTTGGCCATGCAAAGATACGTCGTGCGGTAAATTCGAGAAGAAAAATAAAATTTGCATCCATTCGTGTAGACATTGCAAAAGTGTAAATTATGAAACATTTGCTTACTAATATGAGATGGTGGATATGGGTATGATTGCTCATATAGATTTATAAATAAGTATATATATGGTAAAATAATGCCCAGTGTAAAAGTTGTAATTATCCACTTTCCTCCCTTTTTTTGTAGAAAGAGATTATTCAATAACATGTCCTAAAGGTTAAAAAAAAAAAAAAAAAAAAAAAAAAAAAAACATTCATATAAAAAGTTGAGAAAATCGTATATGTCAAAAAATGCACATTTTAAATACTTATTAAAAAAAACTACAATATTCTAATTGATAACAGGATGGTCCTATAATACAAATAAGGATATATGTAGCAGCAACCAGGAATTCGAAGGAATAATTTCGAAGGAGGAAATGGATGCTATAAGTAACATGTCTTATCATGTAAAGATAAAAATGAAATGTATTGATCATGTTTGAAAAAAAAAAAAAAAAAAAAAAAAAAAGTACTATTATTAATCATATTAACTGAACATTTTGCTTAATTTGTACATATTCTTCCAACAACTTTTCTTCCCCTCGCCCCTTCAGCAAAGAATAGCCTTCTCTACAAAATATGAAATCGCTTGGCCATGTAAAAATAAATGTATTATTGGTTACGATATATATGATTGTCCTAGAGGATGGATGAATTTGATGAATTCAGGAGTTTGTAAAGCTCCTGATGATTACATACCTCCTCTGAACTGCCCCCGAATAACCCATTTTGATTACATGAGTATAAGTGAAAAGGAGATGTTTAGTAGAAAGTGCAATGTTAAATGGTTATGCATTGAGAACTCCCAAAGAGATTATTCAAAATGTCCAAAATACTTTGAGTATGTATCTGAGGGAAATAATAAAGGATTTTGTATACCAAATGAAAAATATCGAGGACCCTGTAAAGATACTCAAGACATATTATCATTAACTCTGGAACAAAAATATAATTTCGAAGAGACTTGTGAAGCTCAGTTTCATAACATGAGAAGTGAAGATATTCCTCAAGCGGAACAGGATATCATTAGCCCTACTACGATTGAAAAATTGCTCAAGGGAACAGATATAACAGAAAAGGGTATTACCTTGGAGTAATTTCCACACATGTCTGTACAATTCTCAGACTAAACTGTGCACATGTAAATATGCATTTGTAGGCATAAATGCAGGTGTAAGCATGTTCAATTTGAGTGTTTTTTTTTTTTTTTTTTTTTTTTTTGAGATGATTTTAAAAAAGTTAAAACCTTTCAGCATTAAATTTGTTGGAAGCACAGAAAAGGGAAGTAAACTACGTAACAAACGAATAAAAATGATACACACACAAAAAAAAAAAAAAAAATAAATAAATAAATGAATAAATGAATAAACGACTAAAAAATTTTAGTGATGTAGGATCGAAGAAATTGCTCTTACAATTTGGTTATTTAATTAAATTCAAATCCGAGCAAAATAATAAAAGGTAGTTTATTCTTTAACATGTGTATAAGACACATATTTTTTTTTTGGAAGAGTATGTGTGACAGGGAATACCAAATGATAAGTCATTCGTTATAATTGCATTATCTTATTTGTCAACCTATATGTGTATAGTTATATTATTTCCTGTTTTCTATTTTTCCATCCCCTTATGTGGTAACATTATGTCACTATAATTGAATTGTTTTACTTATGGATGTAAGTTTTCCATATTTCAGTAGAGGATCTATAATGTGGTAAAATTCTGTACTTATTCGTAAATAAATTTCAAAAATATGGAAGATTATTCCTTATGGAGTATTTATATTTTTTTTTTGTGCATCTAAATTTGGGATAATTGTTTTTTTATATTTCAAGGAAAATTTCAAAACTTTTTCGTATACCCTAAGCTTGAGGTTCTCATCTGGTATATGTTCAAGAATTTCATTAACAAAAGCTTTCATCATCATTTGCCTAGCAATTTTTTCAGTTATTCCTCTTGTCATTAAAGAAAAAACTGGTTCTTCTTCTAAATCACTTATGGTTGCTCCATGATTTGCACATTCAATGTCATTAGGAATAATTTCCAGAGTTGGTATAGCCACAGCACTGGCACCAAAATTTAATAACACAGATCTGCATAAAGTATTTAACTTGGCCTTTATTGCATTTCGTTCAATTCTGCCTCTACTTCTCCAAACAGCATGACCTTTATCCGAGACTAGAACTTTAAATAATTGATTAGTTTCCATATTTGGATGTTCATGGTGAAACATTTCATATTGGCTAATGTTTTGTTTATTCTGTAACAATGATAATCCGTAACTCTCTTGCTTACATCCATTTTCTCCTTCAATTTGTAAATTAACTCTTGATGATAGACTACCCATGAGAACATCAACGAATTTATAATTTGCTTTGAGTCCATTTTTTACTGAAACATTGTGAAAATACCACACATTTTTCCCTAATTCTTGAGACAAGGTATGTTTAACGTTTGATTTTTCTTCCATATAAATTCTGGAAAATGCATTTACAAGACCACTATTGTTGTTGTTTAGAGATATATGGGATTCATGAATGTTTATTTTGCTATTCCCTTTAATGTAAACTACTAATCTAGGGTTAGTTATTGGGCTGTGTATATAGTCTGTCAGTTTCTTTTCTGAATAATGGTTTTTTTCATTTTCCAAAATTGGTTCCTCCTTTTTGTTTACACTACTGAGTTTGTGAGGGGTATTATTAATGGATGAATTTTTTTCTTCGTTCATATGGTTATTATGAATCTTTTCGTTCGGTAGTAATTTATTTATTTTTTGTGAAGATTCATTAGTTGGTGCATGTTCATAAACAGAATAATCTGCCTCTTTGTTATTTATCTGATAGTCTTCATTCTTAGATGTTGCTAAGAATATGACATGAATAAATTTATCACTTAGGTCTATGTTTTTATCTAGATAAATCACTGCACAATCTTTTATTGAAGCAAGATTTAGAGAGGAAAATTTGGCCATCCCAAAATCGCTTTTTCTGTAATCATAAATTGGATAATCGTTGTCAAATTTTCTAGACTGTTTTCCTATTTGGCCCCTAACAAAAGGTTGTGTATTTTTTTTATACCAATTTGAATGTTCAGGTATGAAGTACAATTCATTGTTAATTAAATATTCTATTTCAGCATCTTTTATGTTAAAAAAACTACCCACAAATATTTTTGTTTTTTTATTTTTCTCTTCCGAGTTTTCATTATTGGAAGATTTAAGGTGGTTATTTCCATCTTCTGTATTTTGTGCATTTGATTGCCTCAGTTCATTATCTAGACTTTTTAAAATGGTTATATCGTCGGATAAATATTCATCCACTATTCCGTCCCTAACAACTAATGTGTAAAATGCTTTTTTAAATTCATTTTTGCATTCATTAATATGGGAAAAATTATTCTGTTTATCGTCATTTAATTTTTTGTTTGAAGATGATGTGTGTGGCTTTAAACCATTGGGAGAGTTATCTCTTGATTTCTTATCTTCATTGGTTAGATTGTTATATGTAATAGTATTTTTATCACTTGTTTTTGCTTCTTTGTAAAATTCGTTACTTTCTTGTGTTTGTTCTGTATTTGCACAGCTGCTCGTGTTGTATAAATTTTCTGTCTTTTTTAGATCTTCACTATTTGGACTATTTTCTTCGGATATTTTTTTCTGTATATTATTAACATCCCCTTTGAGGTACGTTGTATGGACTACTTTCATTTTAAAATCCGTTAATTCTTCTTTGGATATTTTTCTTAAGCTTATGCTGTTATCAAAATTTTGTTTATAAAAGATTTTTAGATTTACTTGTTGTCTCCAGGCTTCTAATTTTCGGTTTGGTGTTGGAACTTCAGCAAATGCACTTTTTCCTGAATTCTGTAAAATTTTCCACATGCAATATTTTGGATCATCAATATTTATGTAAATTTTCGGTATAGGTATGCTGTTCACATTTTCTATTATTTCCCCGTTTTTGTCATATTTCCACAAATTAATATATTCTGCATCTTCTAAAATATTTTCACTGTATTTTTCTTTGAACTTTTCAATTTGATCATCAAATAAATTTTTTTTGTTGGTAAGGTTTCTAGCAATTTCTTCATCAATTGTGTCGTCTTGGTTTTGTCTATCGTGCTGAGTTTCTACATTTTCAACTCTGTTTTGGTCTTCTATTCTTGGATTTGTATCATTTACGTTGGTAGTTACAGGATTGGTGAGAGTACCTTCTGTATCATTGCTGCTACTTTTTATCCCCAACTTCAATTCTGAGTTTTCCATCAAAGTATCGTGAAGAGCTTTTTTTTCAGCACCAAATTGGTTAAGAGGTTTAAGAGAATTTTGCATCTTTTTCGAAATAGTGTCATTCATTTGTATTAGTTTTTTTTTTAACTGATCAAATTTGTCAATTATGTAATCCGTTTCTATAGCAGTTTTATCTCGTATCAAGATTTGCAAGGTGTGTAAATTTAAGAGAAAATTTAAATTTGGAAAGAAATGCTGATTGTAGGACGAAGAAATTAACATTAAATCATTAAAATGCATGTTTCTTTTAACATCATTTGGTGTATTAAATGAGTATATTTTGTTTCTTTCTTTTCCAAATGTATCTATGTTACGAGCACTGAACCCACTGGTGGTTAGGGCATTGATTGGAGAGTTATTGTAACATTTTGGAGACTTATAATTAGATGGGATAAATTTAGGTTCTGTCGAAATGTCTTCATCATAGATCATCAATTTGGGTATATGATATTTATATTCATAATAATCTTCTATCCTTTTAATTGGGTGTATATATTTAAATTTATATTTATAAGTTAAGTAGTTTTTTTTTTTCTTCTCCCATTCTTCTTTTTCAATTAATTCATTATTTTTAATAAAATTATTTACACTTTTTACGTCTTGAAATTCTGTATTGTGCATATTTGATAAGTAATCATACATTAAAGTCGTGTTGTATTTTTTCTCATTATTACTTAAGTACCATTCGTTAATTGTAGCATTTGAGACATTTCTTTCACAATTTTCTGAAATTTCATCCTCCTTGTCTTCTCCTTCTTCACCTTCTTCTCCCATTTGGGGGTTAAATTTTTGATATAATTCTTCATACTTCCTTAGGTGCTTCTTGAAGTTCCTGCTTCTTTTTTTCTTTCTATTTTTAGCACACAGGTAGATGAAAAGGGATTTCAAAAATTTCGCAGAGTTTGTTCCTTCTCTTCTGACGAACCAGCACCTTTTATGTTTTGACGAGATTACGTTTTTACTACCACACAAATGTGTTATATTTTTTGTGATCTCTTCCTTCTGTACCTTTTTCTGCACCTTTTTTGTATATTTTTCATATCCTTTATTTTTTTCATTTTTTATAGACTTCTTATTTGGGGATTGTGAATTTTTCTCGTTCATATACTCTCCTCTGCGCACACCATTTTGGTTAGGGGTGGGTGAACTGTGAAGATACCCTTCAATAGATTTGTTATGATTTTTAAAATGTTCACATTTAATCCTGTCTTTAGCATAATCCAATTTGGTATGCTTCTCAAATAACTTTTTAAAACTGTTATTGAATTGAATGGTGTAAAGTTTTCTTTTTATTTTATTTCCATTGCATTCATGTCCTGTTCGATAACATACATTTGTTCCTCTTTTATGTAAATTATTAAAATCATATTTTTTATGTTTGGGCTTTAATTTGCAGTTTCCATTTGGCTTTGTTTCTAATCTAAGACTTGAGTTATTCACATAAATAACATCAAATATTTTGCATTCTATATAATATAAAGAAATCACAAAATTGTTAGTTAGCAGGAGGAGAACAAAAATGTAACTCCTTATGATTGCTTTAGGCATAGTTCCCTTTAATTATATGAAAAAACAGCATTTTTGTAAAAAAAGAAAAAAAAAAAGAAAAAAAGAGAAGAGAATAATAAAAATTTTATACGTTAAATAGTTTCCCTCATATTAACATTTTTTTTTTTTTTTTTTTTCTTTTTTTTTTTTGAACACACCAATTTACACAAAAAAGAAAGGAAATAAAAAAAAGAGAATGAACTTTTATATTAGCTAATATGTAAATCTCCTAATCGTGTTAAGTCGAATGTTGCATTTTATATACACAAATGTGGTGCTACTTCGAATATGATTAAATTGTAAGAAGAATGTAACATGTCGAAATTTATATACACCAGTTACTACTTGTTACCATAGGCTTCTTTTGTATAAGCTTGTGTCAAAATGTACATATAAAATATGCCGTAAATTAAAATTAAAAAGAAGATTATATTCTTAAAAGTGAATATTTTTACAAAATATAGCAAGTGCATAGGGGTAATACGAAAAAAAGATAGGTGATAAATGGATCCCTTGATGTTATATTTTCACACTTTATAATGAAAACATGGTGATGACGATAAAAAAAAAAAAAAAAAAAAAAAAAAAAAAACATCTTAGTTGAAAGAAATTAGTTTAACATGTTAGCAGCTTACTATTTAAGCAATCCATGGAAATATAAGAATGATAAACTATTTGAATGCTTCTGGAAAAAGGGAAGGTGTGTGGATAAGTTCTCTTTTAAATGGTAATTCACACTTTTCGAGAACTGTTAACAGTGTTTGTAAATTAAATTAAAAACGTCCCAACAAAATAAATACTTCCTTTTTTTTTTCGGGTGTTTATTTTTGCAAAAGAATTCACATTTTTTCCTAACATGTTTACACATGCGTGATATGGTGGACAGAAATGACAGATGATCCAAGTGTTGTAACAAATTCACACACTGAGAAAGAGTATTTTCTCCTTTAATGCGTTTGTAATTTTTTTTTTTTTTTTTTTTTTTTTTTTTGCGTTATTTTAGTAGAAAGTTGAAGATGTTGAAGAAAGTTTGGACTTTTACAAATAATTAAATTGAATTTAACTTATAAGTATGCGGCAAAGTACATAGTTTTGCATATTTAAAAAAAAAAAAATAGTTAATGGACTACTTTGCTTTTCTATAAAACAGTTAAGACTGCCATATAATATACATATATATATAGGTCTAACCCCGTATATGCACATGTTTGATTATTTACTTATCCTTTCATGTTTCCTGCTATTCCTTATGTTTTCATTTTTCTGCAATTCAGCAGAGAGCAAAAAGAAGTACTAATTTTGTGTTGAGGTCTGTGATAAACAAACTATGGAAAATACAAGCAATGTACTTTTTTTCTATATAGCAAGGGGAGTTATATAATATTCACGTTTCACTCGTGTAACACATTATAAGTAAACACAAGGTTTTTTTGGTGTATGTTTTTATATTTCTTTCAGTAGGGGAACTTGTTATGGGCTTCTGAGTAAAAATTTTCCAAGTATAAATAGAGAAAAGTGCACATAATTAATAGTTCCTTATGTAGATATATAATGTGTCATACATGGCATAAATTGAATTGATGCCAAAATATATAAATTATAATATTTGTATTTTAAAGATTTCATAATAAAGTTTTATATATTGTAAATTAGCTTCTGATGTGTTCTTTAATTTTTCGCTTAATGTATATTTTGCAAATTTTGGCATACTTTAAAAATGTGGAATAAATTTTAAATAGTCATAGATATTTATATGTATACTACTTTAAGGTACGCAAATTTTTAAAGGTTATAATAAAAACTTTTTAAATTTTTGTAATTTTCAAAACGAAGAAATGGAGAGGAATTTTATAATAGCACATACACTTCACAGTACTGAATTTGAAATTTTTCAAAGAATGCAAAAAAAATATATATAATAATGCACCTTTATCTCAGGAAATTAGAATTATATAATTGATATTGAAAGAAAAATAATCTTATTAAGCACGGATGGCTGAGTGGTCTAAAGCGTCAGACTCAAGATCTGATGAACGTAAGTTCGCATGGGTTCGAACCCCATTCCGTGCAAAAAACTTGAAAAATAAAAGAATAATGCATAACATATTAGAAGTTTTATTTTGTTTAAATTTTTTCCCAAAAAAGTTGTGTAGGGAGAGAGATAAAAATATTAAAATGTCTCTTATTTGTTTATATTGTACGTTATTTATTCTTTGATATTCTTTGATTGTAATTCTTTTTAAATTCAATTTTTTAATAAAATATATTTTATATGAATGATAATTGCATATCTTTTTTCTTTTTTTAAAGCACTGAAAACATTTTAAGGAATAAAATTTCACCCTTTTTAGGAATAAAATATTTTGAGTTCAAAAAATAATGGTTTTATTAAGTATAAATTAGAAAAAAAAAAAAAATTACTTAAAGATTAAGGGTGATTCACAACATTTTACTGAAAATTTATTTATTGAGAATAACACCATATATCAATATTTGGGAGTGGAAAAAAAGTGTGTGATGAGAAACTATCAACTGAGTTTTTGCGATTACCTTTTATACTGATTATTGATTTATTTTTTTAGGTGTAAAACAGGTCCAATTAATCATTGTGTAATATAATATATATTTTTAACTGGGACCATATAGCATATTGTTATTCAGAAATTGCTACACTAATCGCTTAAGCAAAAAAAAAAAAAAAAAAAATAAAAAAACACTTAAAAACTTTTTTCAAAATTGTAACATTTTTAAAGAATTAGAGTTATTTCAACGGGATATCGAATTTTTCCAATTTAACATTTTGTTGGAAAATGGCTCTACACATGCTACAATGACTTATATACCTGTGAAACAGAACCACATTCATATTAAAAATAGGAGAATCAATAAAGCATTAAATTAATGGTAAAGCATTACATTATGCATATCTGAGAACACGTTAAGGTATTATCTTCTTATGCGAAATGGGGTATGTCTGAATTTATATTATTTTTAAATAAAGAATGTAATAAATGAAACATCGTTTTAATTAGGTTAACATACAATGTAAAACTTATAAAAGAAAAACGTTGTCTCATAGGAACTTCTTCATTTTGTGCTTTCCTGGAACTGTGAATATATCTGCATGAAATTGTAATATATGCGAAAGATAGTTATTTTGCTAGTATAATTTCATTCATTCCAAATTCGGCTAATATATTTAAAAAAGGGTAGTTGTGAAAATGCATATTTCCACAAGGAATTTTTTTCAACAATAAAACATAATATATAGTAATAAAAAAAAAAACTTACAAGGGATTAAAAAAAATGCTATTCCCTAAAGGTAGAGAAAACAAAAATTAAAAAAAAAATCCTGTAATGAGAAAGGGTAAAAAATAAATTGCAAGAAAGTTATTAAAAAAAACGTAAAATTTTGAAAGGTACTTCTTCATTTGCGTCAACCGGGAGTCGAACCCGGGTCACCTGCTTGGAAGGCAGGTATCATGGCCGTTAGACTATTGACGCTATAATGTTGTTATTTTCTCATTTATTATGTTTTTTTTTTTTTTTTTTTTAAATAAATTAATATGTTTTTCCCCCTTTCCATTTTTGCACTCCTATGTGATACACGAAAAGAAAGAATTCATGCTGTAGTATATTGCCTATATATCCCAGTAGAATAACAAATACATCATTCAGTGAGCTACATTGATAAATGAATATATATATTATTTTATGCTCACCTTTCTCATTGCTGAATTTCTCATGTTAACGTTGGTTAAGATGAAGGCTAAAAATTTTTTTCTTAGAGATTCATTTGTTTCCATGGCATTTATTAGAAGTTCCGATAATATATTTTCACTCTACAACTTATTTTGAGAAAAACGCAAACAAAGAAGAAAAGCGAATTTACAAATATACAGCGTGAACTTTTAATAGTACCTTTTTAAAATACATACTATTTGTTTACGTTGAATATGTATTTATCATGTGTTTATTTAGTTTTGGCATGGTCCGTTTGTTTTATTACTCTGTGTTAACAGTGTAAGCTCATGCATAGGAGTAAAATATTAGAGTCCCCATTTGGTGACGCAAGCTTTAAATGAATAAAATGGTAAAGCAAAAAATAGAATCATCAGGCATAAACATTTAGAATAACAAATGTTATTAACGCGTTTCTAACTAGTTAATAACATAAAATAAATGCTTTCGTTTGTTACACTTAATCTATTATACCTTCAAATATAATGATGGATATTTTTTCATACGCTTGTTATTATAAAAACCATGATACAAAATCATGTTCGAGTATATGCAAGGATGTCATTTATGAAAAGATATACTTTCAAAATTTCATAATGAGAAAAAATCGATAAAACAGAAGCATAATTAATATGGATGGAATATGGGGATAATAATAAATTTTACCGCTTCCCAATTTTATGAACCTAAATAGTGTAATTTGCTTTTATATTACTTATTTTACTGCATATTGCTTAAAAATATAACAAAATAATGAGGGTCTATGCAATCACAGATTATTGAGGAACATTTATTTTTTGTAGAATAATGCTCATCCTCATAGACACAGTTTGCACTTTTTTATGTACAATGTAATTTTTTTCTACAATTTTATTCGAATGCTTTTAAAGAGGGAAAATGTAGAAAGGGTAGTCTTTTCAGGATGTCTTTTTTTCTTTTTTCTTTTTTTTTTGTAATGTTCATGTACTTCAGTTCGTAAGTTTTCGATTGTAAGGGGGATGGAATAATGGGAAGAAAAAAATTTATATAATTTTTTTTTTTTTTTTTTTTTTCGTTTAGTTCTTCCCATTTAGCTGTGTATAATAGTAGCTAAAGGAAATGCCTTTTCCTTTTACCTTGATAATGTTACAATGCATTTTTGCTTTTATACTTTTAAGGCATGTTTTTTGTAAAGTTATAAAAAACATGTTGACAAACATTTTCCATTTACATTTAAAAATTATGGAAAAAGATTAAATGGATTTAATTGCACCATGTTGTGGTGCCTATTTAAATGTTTAACCATATGTTATCAGTGTACATTCCCCTTCATAACCACACTTCTGTTGTCCGTGTAATTTCTCAATTATGGAACTTAAATTTTGATAATAATACTACAATAATGGTATTTTTCATATTGGTTAGGGGTATGCAGCAGGAAGAGCGTATACGTAAAATTGTTCTTATTTTTACATTTTTTTTTTAAAATAAATGGGTCAGAATTATTTAAAAAAAAAGTATCTTCAAACATTTGTTATAATCTATATGCGTGAATTAAAAAGAGTCAATTCTTTGAGGCCCTACCTCCTTTTTGCGCATTTCTTTAAATATGTTTATAGGTATATATTTTTAACACCATTTGTAATACATGTAATGTTGATGAAAAAAAGTGTAATGATTAATCATGTTTTACTTTAAAATTGTTAATGTTTTGCATTGCTGCACTTAGGGCTGCGTGTAAAAATGTAAAATTCTTCTATACTTTGTTACAACATTATCTTACTCCTAGAAGTGGATATGTGCATTATACTACAACACATCACATATTTTACGTGGGGTTTTATTTTGCCGTTTTATCATGTTTATTTTAATGTTTTGTGTGCCTATTTTATTGCTTGCAAAGCATGTAATGGATTATGTGAATAACACTATACATGATCAAATTCAGTTATTTTGTATATAAATATAAATACCCCTTTATTTCATGAATAACAACTGTTAAAGAAAAATTATCTCAAAGAGGTATATTTTTTTTTTTTTTTTTTTTGTTATGAAGGAAAAAAAATCCCATAAAAAAATAGAAAAATGTTGGTAAAATATGGTTTAATACGCATGATTTTTGTTATTTACACTCACATTTTTGGGTGATAATCGAAATACGAAAAATTGTTGCATTAAAAATTAAGAATCATAGCTAAAATGTAGTATTACGCGTGTTACATATATAAAAACGTGCACGTGGTTTAAAGGCAAGAATTGCATAAGCATATCTAGGAGCAAAATAATGTTGCATTGAAATTGAATAATGACCTCTTTGATATACTAGTGCATTTTTGCAATATATTATATGATGAAAAATATGGCATGGAAGTGTTTGCTTTTTTTTTTTTTTTTCTTTTTTTTTTTTTGTAATTATTTATATACCAACCTTCATATAACATTTTTTGCCAATTTTCGGGGATCCTCCCTTTTTACATGAAAATTACTTAATTAAAAATATTTTATTGTTTTTTAAACTATTCCTTAATATAAAATTTTTCCCCAAAATTGTATATAAAATAAAATTTTTTCTTTTCTGCGTATCGCATTAAAAGTTAAGAAAATTGTGCAAACAAAAAAAAAAAATACATTTTTGCAAGAATAGAGAAAGTAACTTTATTTTATATTCAGATAATATACATTCTTCAAATTTTTCGTAACACTTCGCAACATAAACAATAATTAACATTACAGCAAAATGGCAGCAGTTCCAGTGTCAGAATTAGCAGAATGCGAAAAGCAGGAACTTTTATGTACCTACGCAGCTTTAATATTACACGAAGAGAAGATGAGTATTACGAGTGAAAATATTCTGAAGCTAATAAAAAAGTCAAATAACACAGTGTTGCCGTACTTACCAATGCTTTTTGAGAAAGCTTTAAAGGGAAAGGATATTGAGTAAAAAACGAAATAAAATTAAAATAAAATAAGAGTATACGTGAATGAGCATTGCACATATATACATGCACCAACTTGTGTATAAAGGCATATATGTTTGTGGCAACTTAAATTCCATGTACACGAACTTTTGTGCCATTTTCCAATCACGCAAAACGTTTCGTATATGTTTTATTAGGTCACATGTTGTCTTTGTGTTAATCTCCACTCATGACACTGCACATGTGCACATATGCATAATTTAAGCGAAACTTTGTTATTATGCATCCAATATAAAGGCATCAAAAAAAAGGAATATGCATACATAAGATGCTATACACTACATGTGTATGAGTTGAATTCAAGTTTATTTTATTTTCGCACGTGAGTAACAATGATTTATTCCACTTTTAATTTTTAGGAGCTTATTAAGCAACTTAAGTGTTGGTGGAGGAGCACCTGCTGCAACTGCACAAGCGGCAGCCGATAAACCAAGTGATGATAAGAAAGAATCTAAAAAAGAAGAGAAAGTAGAAGAGGAGGAAGAAGAAGATGACTTAGGATTTTCACTTTTCGGTTAGATTTGTATAAAAGGAAAAAAAACAGAGACACATCGCATAGGTTTTATATATTTAAATGTAAGAGGGACCAATTGGGAAATTGCATTTAATGTACAAGTATTTTAAGGAATTAAGGAACGGAATTTTCATTAATTTGTTAAAGATTAAACCTATGGAGTAATTTAAATATATCGTTTAAATTTACATAAAACGTTTTTGTTTCACCTTTTTTTTTTTTTTTTTCATTTATATTTATTTTTTAAAATATGGACAAAAAAAAAAAAGAAAAAAAAAAAAAGTAGAATAACTTTCATTTAAATTGTGTAAAACGGAAAAACTTTTTATTGTGCATATAAATAAAAGGTTAATTTTTTTTGAAAAATACAAAATAAGTCATATGTAACAAAGTTTTAGCTGAAGGGTTGGATTGTGCAATATAATTCTGCACGAAAAAATATATCTCCACCAGACCCTGTTACTACATAGTTGTTATTTTACGTAAAGGTTAAAGAAAATTTATTGTACCTTTTAAGAATGGATCAACATGTGTGTATCTTATATATTTTACCTTTGTTCCCCTGATTTCCCCTTTGCATTATGAAGTTTATAGCATAAAATAAAAATTGGGGCTTACACCATAAGATTGATTGAAATTAATATGGCAACAACAAGTCCCCAATAATATCAATGCAAAAGTTACTTTCTGTTTTGAGGCTTAATCGACATAACGTCGGTGGCATGTTATTGTTATTTCGCGAAACGTGTAGAGTTAAATATACGATCACTAATGGGTGACTTATAAAATCATTCCAAAGGAAGAAGGTATATCGTTGTTCTTTCAACATTAAGATTCTTTCATGTTTTATTAATCTATTGAAAGAGAAAAAGAATGTAGTATTTCATAGCTTAATAGACAAATTACAACTTGAATAAAAAATTAAAATTCGTTAAGTTCCTTGAAAAAGTTCCACATATTCCAGTGGGCCAAAGCAATCGATAGATGAGAAAAAAAAAAAATCTATCATTTAAAAGGGGGAATAGGAAAATTATAAAAACGTATTGGGAAGTAGTTAGCTCGTGTATATATTTTATAAATATGTAATTTTAAAACGTGTATAACATTGGCTCAAACATCATTTTTATTTTGCTTAAAAAATTTTAATGTATAAAGAAAAATAAACTTTGTTAAATTTTGAACATTTTAAAATACGACACATTAAAAGAACGAGAAAATCGGAGAGGCAGTCGTAAATTTATAAGTTAGGAGAAATAAAAGGATATGCTACAAGGATGAAAATACACATTTTTGTTATTTGGCATATAAGAAAAAATAAATAAATAAAAATATATATTACAAATGTGAAATATTTTAACACTGTATATTTATCGGGAAATATTAAAAACCGGTACGTCAATGTAGCTCATTTTTTTATGGTAAAATGGCACATGTGAATAAAATGAAGATCTGCAAAATGATGTTCAGTCTTATTTTTGGCACACATGAATTAGACAAAAATGAGTAAACTAAAATGAGTGTAATCATTGTTTGGAGAGAATAAACCTTCGTTACAAACACCTGTAATGCGCATAGTGACACTTTCAAATGGTAAGCAAATTAAAGGAAAAATACAAACATATCATGGTGACCATGTTTTAATATATATTGTTAGCTAAAATAGGGTTACAAAATTGCTATTTAAAGGGGATATTGGGCATCAGAAATGAAGATAAAAACAAAATATACAGTGTGATTAAACAGATAAATAAATAATTATTATTATATAACTGCATGAGAAAAGCATTTAAATATTTTTTTCCCCATGTTATTTTATCTATTATCGAATGATATATCCTATTTGAACTGTGTCACTATGAAAATGATTGATTTTTAATTTTTTTTTCTATTTTTAAATGTAGACAGTTTTTTTTTAAACTTTACCTATTTGGTATAAAATGGCATGAAAAATCAAATTCAATAGGACAATATTTTTATCACATCCAAAAAATTAATATATGATTCTTCGTCCTACAGATATTTTTGTATAAAAATATAAAGGACAATGTTCATATTAAAAGTTAAGGGTATGATAACTTAATTAGATCAAAAACTGAAATCGTTTGGCTTACGAATGTTAATTTATGCAATAAAAAGGCGGAAATACTATAAAAATGTATGTGTCATTACGGACTGTCCAGAGTTTGTGACAAAAATTCAGTATAAATACAGTGAATTATAACATACCTAAATTACCGTTCTATATCGTAATTTATTGTACACAGTTTTAATATAGTGGTAAAAAAAAGCATGAAAAAAATTAACAAACAAAATGAATTAAAAATATTACTATATTTGTAGGAAAATATTATACATTTATGTAACCCTTGGTACGAGCAGAATGAAAAAGGTGCATGTAAAAATTACTTTCTATGTGGTTCATATTTCAAAAAAAAAAAAAAAAAGAAAAAAAAAAAGTAAGCAAGTAAATATAATTTTCACTGAGCAACTCGAAATCAAATGTGCATTTTTTTATTCAGCTGGATATATATATATATTTTTGTATTTTTTTTTTTTTTCTGATAATATCCACATATTCCTTGAGGGGGTCGTCTATTTAATTTGTGAAAAGGAAAAAATTATACCTACAACAAAGTACACACTATTTTAGCCAAAACTGCTGTCAAGAAGTTGAAAATAAGACTGTACAGGAAAATAATACATTTAGATATATTCCTAATTTGATATATGCATAAAATAAATAAATATAAGACAATGTCTATTTTGAAAGGGAGTACCTTTTCCATGATCAGAATAATATATATTTTAAAACATGTGACGAAAAAAAAAAAATAAAAAATGAAATGAGATGGAACAAAATAGTGTAGAATTCTTATATTTAATTTTGAATAGTTCTATATTACAAAATTAATATATGCTAAATATGCACACTTGATACGCATAAACTAGATTACTTTTAGATAATTTAAAGGGAGATTCCTATCTTTGCATTCTTTCTCTTATGATTTATTCTTTGATGCTTATGTATTCCTTGTCTATACTTCTACATTTATGTTGTTGTCCTTTAAGAATTACTATCACTATTATAACCAGAATCTTGAGATACATTATCAGGATTTTGTTGATTAATACCATTATATATCTTTTATGTGAAAAAGAAGAAAAAAAAATTTATTATGAATAAATTATTGGATAAAAAAAAGAAGATGTTTTAAATAAATGTAGTTATTGAGTGTAAGCTTTTCTTACAATTTTAACTATCACTATGGATGAGCATAATAAGAACACGTAAAGAAAAATACAAACGGAAAGTATAATGTAATACGTTTTCAAAGTATTTGTTTGATCCTCATTTGTGTCTTGAATGTCTGTGTCATTCAGTAATGTTCTTGTAGTTGTTGTAAGATTAATGAACTCCTTCTCATTCATTTTAAGTAAGTGTAATTTTTGCTTCTTTTTTATAATTTTTTTTTCTGTATATATTTGAATATAGCATGAACAAAAAATGTTTCTATAATTATGAAGTAATGCATGTATATATAATTAAGATCTGGGAATGTGAACTTAAAAGTATGTGAAACTAAATGGTAAAACATAAATGCTGGACAACTTTTATTTGCAAGGGATAAAACTGTTACCCTTTCGTTTCAAAATATTATTCTTGACTTGTGAAGCAAATAAAACATAATTTGTACCTGTTGGAAAAAAAAAAAAGGTTCGTTATAGGTTTTTAATTGTGCTAATATTTGTAATTATATGAACGTATATATATTTTACATATCTTTTTGATGAATTTATGAAGTAATAATGCTCATGGGATAATTTTAATCTTTTTAATGACTTTTTAAAATATGGAGATATATATTTCCAAGGATTCTTGGTGTTAACTAGACAAATAATTAACAGAATATAATAAAATCTCTTTTGTCAATACACAAGGACAGATTTAACAAGAAGTTTCTTTTTAAAATACGCAATGTTATAACAAGGAAATAGAATGTATGTATTTTGTGCAATTAGGAAACATAAAATTAGTTCTTTGAAGATATAAGGGTATATATATAGTTTTTTCAATTGTTTTAAAGGTTTAATGAACGTATTTATAAAAATGAAAAAAAAAAAAAAAATAAATAACACTATTTTCACAAGAATATTAGTGATGTTGATTAAATAAAGGTTGTTCGTCATTTTTATAAATAAACCTTTTAACAAAAAGTTTTTTTCTCTATTAAGTGTTAATAAAAATTTATATCCAAGAGCATATTCTGGATTTTAAGTCACTTCATTTACTTGCAATGTTGAAGTCGAGAATTTTTAAGCACAACATTTTTTTAAAACACATCTGTGAACGTAATGTGAAATAGACAAATACTAAAAATAAAAACCTTTTTTTTATTTCTTTGGTTGCTCTTTCGTCATATACGTGTATATGTATATGTGTCTGTATGCTTTATAGTGGTTCTTATTTTTGATGAATGCAGAATATTTTTTCAGATGCACGTTTTTCCTCCTACTAGTTTTAGCTATAGAAGGTTTTTCATATTTCACGCAACACAACTGATATTAGCTGAAAAAAACAACACAAAGCAAAACAGAACAGAACAAAAGAAAAATATTTTATGAATACATGAATTAATTTAAATAAATTACAATTTTTTAAAAATAGTAATTTTCTTTTTATTTACGATTTAATCTTTATGTACAACATGTTTTTTGTGATTTTGCTTTGAAAAATCATTTTCCTCAATTATGAGTATTCCATAAGTGGCATAAGAGAAAAAAAAAAAAGCCTCCTGAAAAAATAATACCTTGTCATTTTATTAAAAATGAACAAACTCTATCATTTGGATATTGGGAAATACATGTACAATGAACACATAATTGTCTTCAGTAAAAATGTATACATGTTTAACGCATATATATATCATTTTGCAAATTAATAAAAAAAAATTTCCACAGAACAAATAAGCGGTAAAAAAATAAACCACTAATAAATGGAGATCAA